AAGAAATATAGGGCTGGGAGGGAAAGAAATAGCTAAAACATAGGCCTAGGCAACCAAAGAAATATAGAGCTGGGAGGGAAAGAAATAGCTAAAACATCAGCCTAGGCAACCAAAGAAATAGATAAAACATCGGCCTAAGTAGAGAAAGAAATATAGGCCTGGCAGTGAAAGAAATAGCTAAAACATAGGCCTAGGCAACCAAAGAAATATAGGGCTGGGAGGGAAAGAAATAGCTAAAACATAGGCCTAGGCAACCAAAGAAATATAGAGCTGGGAGGGAAAGAAATAGCTAAAACATCAGCCTAGGCAACCAAAGAAATAGATAAAACATCGGCCTAAGTAGAGAAAGAAATATAGGCCTGGCAGGGAAAGAAATAGCTAAAACATAGGCCTAGGCAACCAAAGAAATATAGGGCTGGGAGGGAAAGAAATAGCTAAAACATAGGCCTAGGCAACCAAAGAAATATAGAGCTGGGAGGGAAAGAAATAGCTAAAACATAGGCCTAGGTAGAGAAAGAAATATAGGGCTTGCAGGGAAAGAAATAGATTTCATATATTTGCCACACCATTTCATATCATAGATTTTCTTGGCTACAATTAAATCTCTGTGCAGGCATTTGCCTTATGTATATTATATACATTGCAGCTACTAGTGTCAGACTTGAGGGGAATCTTGATTCTGGGCCGATTGGGTGCTCATCCCATTGAGAGATCAGCAGGAACTTGACCACTGGGTTGAGATGGACCAGGCATGGCATGCACAATTTGTGCAACAATAGCCCTATGGTCAGTGTAAGGTATCCATTCAGAGTGGTGATCAGCAACTGAGATTTCAGTGTCAATCATAGAGCCTTGCGAGGTCACAACGCGATCAATGATGTTCCCTTCAGATGCACTGCGACTGCTCCTGCACGTCCAGTCGCTAAGGCGAGAGCACTCTTCAACATCAGACCAAAGATCATGACCATTCATGTCAGCCAGGAATTTGAGGTGTTGAGTTCTAGCATCAGCTCCACCACTTAAACGTTTGAAAGAGGCGACCGTCACATTAAAATCCCAAGCCATAGTCCAAGAAGAGGTTGTCGACAGGCAAAGGCTGGTCATATCACGCCAGAAGAGAGAAACATTGCCAATGTCTCCAGGATTCCATGGAGTGTATGCTCCGATAAAGCAATGTCTAAACATCTGCCATCAGGGGTCGTAAGTATGATATCCAACATGATGACTCGCCCCTTCAGGGCTCTCTGTTGACAACAAAGATATGCAGCCTTCTGGCGCTGATCACAGAATTGAAATGGGCAACCTTTACAGATTGCACCATTCCATTCACATTGAAGCCAAATAGAGTGAATGACAAGGTCGCCGCTGGCAGAACATATGCCGACACAGTGCCTACCATACTAACCAAGAAGACGAATATTCCAAGAAAAAGGAATATATTGACTTCAGACGAACATTTGTATGTTTGGGTGTATCTACAAGGGGGATGGCTATCATGGTGACAGTCACTCAGATCTTGTAAACGGTCGAAAACCCCTTGGAAGATGCCCAGGGACCTAGGCAGGGGTTTCTTTGATAAGTTTAGCAAGAGGGTTGAGGTGTCAACATGAGTCGCCATCAGCATGTCCTGTGGCAGCAGTGGTAAGGGACATACCTTGCCAACTTCCTTTGCTTGATGATCAGGTGAGTCAACCATCATCGAGCTGCCTGTAGCCAGTAATGCCACCTCCTTCTCTTCAGAGTCATCATTTGAAAGACAACGTCTCTTGGCAGAGAAGATGTGTCAATCATCAGCTCTTCTGCAGTGGGAAAGCGCATCAGACGGAGTGGTCAGACCATCTGCGCGACCAGCATTAGAGATAGTGTTTGGAAGTCTGGTCTTGTGACTGGAAAAAGACCGTAACCAGACCAGACCAAGACCGCAAAAGACCGGACCTGCGGTTATGGTCTTTTATTTTTGAAATGTAAAGACCGCAAAAAAACCGGTTAACGTGAACCGGTCTTGACCGGTTTGGACCGGTCCTTTGTAACCCCTTAAATACCCTTTAAAACGCACCCAAGAACGTATGATTTGGTAAAAAAACGAGAGAGATATGAATTAAAATGTAAATTACTTTTGGGAATAATAGATGTACCAGACTTATTTTATAGAAGCACCAGTTCCTAACGGAATTTAACGTTCTTGGGCTCGTTTTAAAGCTATTAGAGATGTTAATAAATTTACCGATTCATAACTTTAAAATATTGGCCTAAAGACCGGTCATAAACCGGTTAAAACCGATGCAGACCGAAGCCAGTCTATAGACCGCAAAAAACTGCGGTCTGCAGTCTTTTTGCGGTCCAGTCTGGTCTTTTGACTTCTGGGGAAAAGGCAGACCGGTTACGGTTACGGTTAACGCCCCTGGGCATCAAAAAACCGGACTTTCAAACACTAATTAGAGAGTCCGGGAGGTACAGTAGGCATGCTCTGATGTACAGGGCTAGACGAGGAGAAAGGATGAAGCTGGCCAGAGTGGCCCCCGACGATCGTGAGGAAGTTCCGATTGGCTTGGTTGATCTTGTTTAGGAGAGCAGCTTCCTCCTTCTGAAACTCTTCCAGCATAGCTCGCACCTCCACTGCCTTTTCCAATTCCATTCCAACCAACAAATGTGTGTTGAGTGTCATCTTGTTAGCACGGATATCAGACAGGTTACGAAGAAGGCAAATTTCCATGGACTGAGCAAGAATCGCGCATTGAGAACTGACAAGGCGATTGCTGAGTTGGGAAATGGCATGTGTGGCAGTCTGTAGCATGCTAGAGATTGTCGTGAGCTGGAGATCTGTGGCTTCACATTGTTTCTGATTCCGTGCCTCCATCAGGTCTAGTGCTTGGAAGTCCAGTCCCAAGACTGCAAAAAGACTGCAACTGGACTGGACCAAGACTGCAAAAGACTTTCATGAAAATAGTAGATGTACCTTAGTATTTTTGCAGATACATCAATTCTCAACGGAATTTAACGTTCTTGCACTCGTTTAGAAGCTACGAAGAATCTCAATAAACGTACTGACTCACAATTGCAAATATTATTGCATATTTAGTTGAAAAACCGGTCTTGAACCAGTTGTAACCAGTCTGGACCAAGACTGGTCCAAAGACCGAAAAAGACTGCAGTCTTGGTCTTTTCCAGTCCTGGTCCAGTCTTTTGAGGTTTTAGGAATTGTATGGACCGGTCTAGGTCTTGGTCTTTTCATTTTGGGCCAAAAAACCGGACTGGACTGGACTTTCAAGCACTAATCAGGTCCATGCGTCTGGTGAGAGCCTTGATGGTATTGATGGCATGAGGGGAGGGGAGCGCAGTGCGTGAAGAGAAAGGAGGGAGGGAGGCAGCAGGGTTTCTTCTAGGGGGAGAGGGAAGAGGGGGTGAAGAGGGAAGAGTGTGAGGCGGCATCATTTGGGAGGTGGGAAAAAAGGACCAAGTTGGGAAGCAGGGTTTAAGGGATGGATGGATGGGGGAAGGGTTTAAGGGTTTAGGTAGGGACAAGATAACGGCAGGATACAGCAAAATAGATGGGTACAGAGATGGGGGAGATGAGTAGGTAAAGTTGCGAGGAGTCAAGTAAAAGAAAAATGGTTCGTTTTGGTAAACAAGCTCAAAAAGTGTAAAAGTGGAGACAAAATGACAAGATTTTGGTATGTGTGGATTCAGGGAGTTTAACTAAGTGAAATGGATTGGGTTATGGGGTGTAAGGGAGGTAGAGTCTAAGGGATTCAGGGATTTTGTAAATTCTGGGCTTGGGGTGGTTGTTGTTGTTGTTGTTGTTGAAAGTGGTTTTGTATGCAGCCTTTGTAAAAGATATTTAATGGGCAGCTTTACACTGCTAATTCCGCAGGCAGTTAACAAGGTTATCCCCATTGGCCATCATGTCAGGGGTTTGTTTCTTGCCCACCATACTTGTATGGTGGTCATGGGACTCTTACTCAGCTAACATACCCACACCCTGCAACTCTTTCCGGAGAAAGCATCTGAGCCTCAAGTTTCACTTCACGGGATTCGAACCTGCGTCACTGCTGAGAGTGACAGAAGGTGGAAATATACCTTCCGCGGCTATGGTTTTCACTGCTGGGCTATACCGCCCTTCTTGTATGCAGCCTGTGATTTGCACATAGTAACCTGACTGGTGCTCAAGCTGGGGAGTCATTTGGTGCTGATTTGAGTGAGACCGGTGTGTGTTGCTTGCCAATAAGTAGTATCTAAGTTATTGAAGGGCAATCCTGAATTCCTAATTACAGGTACTTATGTGCCGCACTCTGAAATGCTAAGAGGGGACTAGTGTATGGCCTTCCTGGCGACATTATACATACCCCACAGTTCCGCCCAGAGTTACTCGCTTTTCATACAGGAATAACAGCTCCTCCACCTCGAGGGCGGCCGCCGCCCCTGTCATCCTCTGTGGTCTTGGTCTGCCCTTCGGATTCAACACTGGTGGGTCATGGATTGCCTCTCGCTTCTTTTCATCGGCTTGAGTAGACCTTATAATACATTAGCAGTGTATTTCTCTAGGTTCTGAGACGCGGGAAAGGTCGAGCGTTGAGAACATAACGATGGTGGCGAGGGGAGAGGTAATGCGAGTCTGGGCAGACGGCACGTGCTCGGCAAGTTCTCACACAATCTCCGATGTAGGTTCTGATAATACAGCCAAACAACATTTGGTGGCGGATCAATGGCAGATGGAGGGGGGTTTCAAGCCGACGACGAGACCCCTGGGTTTCTGGCGGAAAGGGGGTTTCTGGTCCATTGATCACAAAAGTCCAGTCAATTCAATTTTACGTCCTCTCCAAGTCCTCTCAACGTCCTCTCCCAAATTTTGGAATATGTTTTATAGCCTCGGAGCGTTGCCGACGTGCGCAATGTCCAACTTCCGCTCATCCTTGCTGGCCTGAAATTTGAGTGTGCTGGGTGTTCACTGTACTATCTACTATGCGTCAAGAAACACCTTAGGTGCAATATCGGACGATCGCTAAGCCGTTCACGGGTCATTATTGCAAAATCGTACGTACACTATGTAAAACAAGAAGGAAAAAAAGGACATAATCATCCAGTCCGTTCGTCAACCCATCATAAACACAAATCGTAACAACATCCACGGATCAAGCTCAGACGACGTTGAATCTGCCCAGCAAGAATGATTAGCACCGCAAAAGTGAACAGCAAAAAAAAGCATGAACTTACGCCTCAGACCTCCACTCGTCACCGTGCGTCGCAAGCTGCTCCTTCTCTGCGGTCTTATTCACCCATCCAGCTGGACTCCCGGTACCAACAAGCAACGAGTTCCTCTTATCAGCGACAACCTTGAAGTGTGAGCCGGTCTGCGAAGAGACACCCGACTTGATGGAGCCAGTGTTGTCCGTCTTACGAGAGAAGATCTAGAAAAACGTGTTAGACATTGGAACAGACGAAGAATGCAACAAACAATCTTACATCTTTCAAAACATCAATCTTCCCTTCATCCTCCCCCTTCGCACTGTCCATCCTCTCCCTAACACCAACAAGCTGCCCATCGACGTACTCCAACCCAGTCGTTAACGCGTCCTTCAACGCCTTCTGGATCTGCCGCTTCACGAGGCCCGTCGCGAGGGGTTTGAGGGTCTTGTACAAAAAGTCATGCTTAGAGTCCCGAATGGAAAACTTAAGCGTGTCGACTTTGACGTGAACGGACTCGACTCTGAACACGGAGGATCTGTCATGCTTGGGCGGGGATACCAAAACGATGGTCGCCTATTGCATTCATTAGTGTAAGGCAAGACGACAAATTAAGAGGACGAATAACTCACGCTCAATCCCTCCCCGCCAAGGATTACGTCGGCGAGCCCCGAATCCCTCATCTTGGGCAATCCCGTCTTTTTCCGATAATAAAAGGCGACGTCCCTCATGTCAGCTTGAACCTGCTCAAGCGAAATCGTGATGCGATGGTAGGAGTCATCCTTGATTGCGTTGTATGGAGAAAACTTGACGAAATTATGGGCATCTAGCGAGGCGATGTTTGGGAACAAGTTGCGGCCTTGGAGTGTGAGATTCTCCACGACGAGATCGAGTGAGTCGTCGGTGTACTCGATGCGTGGGATAGGGACGTATCCAACCTATGATTATAAAGTCAGAATCAAATCTCAAATGGAGAGGGGGGAAACGTACATGTTCGATCAGCTGGGGTACGATCACCCGCCTAATATCGTTCCAGAGGTGCGGTTTAAATTTCAAGCTGCCTTCGCTATCGAACAAGAGATCCCTGGTGAGCCGAGCCCAGTCCTCGCCGAAGCGTTTGTTGAGCTATCAAATATAAGCCTCGTTAGATTTGGGGCGGAGCAGAAGAAATACTACTTACAGGGTCTTCGCCCATAGCGCCGAACCAGCTTCCAGCACTACTGAACAAATTGTCAAAGTGGGAGCGGTACTTGTCATCGTAGAATGTTCTCCCAGATTCGCGTAGGCGATCCGCCTGGGTGTCACAATCTGGCTCCAACACGTAGCCAGGCTCAAGAAGCACCTAAAAACGCGCATATAGTCACTATCGTTAATCGACTTAACATATTTGACTCACCTTGCGAATGTAAGCATCGACGCTCCTGAACCAGTCGCCCAGGGCTTGATCATGGCGGGCATCATCGACGAGAACATCAATGGCGTCAAAAATGACGTCCATGGACGTATTATTGGCAAAGCGCTCGAGCAAGGTGCGCAGTTCCTTCACAGAGAGGCTGAGTTTCGAGTCCTACCATAAAACGGATCGGCAAACACGCGAAGAAACGATGAACAGGAGAAACGTACATTAGCAACACCTTTGACGTGCTCGTGGCCATTTCCGGCGATGCCTCTGCCATGGCCGACGTACTCATCAAAGTAGTCGAGAAGCCAGGTGATGGATTCCTGGTAGTCGTCGTGTTTTTGGCACTCCATGATAACCTACAAAAAGGTGAGCTGGACTGATAAGACTCGGGGACAGAAGCCGATTACCTTTTTACCGCGGAAGATAAATTGATCGCGTCGCTCTTCAGGGAAGTACTCTTCAGTAAGGAACTTCCTGCCTCTCTCAAGCTTGTCGTTGGCGGTGTCCTTGTGTTGTTGGGGAATGCGATCAGACAATCCATCCTAATGGCCCTGTCAGAAACACGGTGACGACGAGATGACCAGCGAAAACATACCCGGACATTATCCTAAGTGATATGAAATAACTAGGTGAGTATATGCGGTCAAAATGACATCAAAAAGCTTACCCTCATCTGACGGACGCGGTTCAGCACACCCTGCTTCTTCACCTCAGCTTCCTCCGAGCTCTCCGCATTCTGAATATCCCTGGCTTGCGACTGAGTCTCCCCCAACACCTGATTCCCGGCCGTTACTCCCTGGGACCTGAGCTGTTGGTATCTCTCTGTCCCCTGCGCTTTCACTTCCCCGATAGGCCTCTCCGTCCCCTCCTCGGTCCTCACGATCGCCTCATCCTGCTTAGGGTGCTGCACAATAGTATGTCCCGTGCCAGGAACACGCGCCTCCAAAACGGGCGTCTCGCCTGGTCCTACGGTACGACCTTTTTCCGTAACGAACTGGTCGTTGGGCGCAGACTGGTCAACGTTCTCTAAAGCCTCGTTCGACGGTGCGATGGTCTCTGCGGCCTTGACGGCTGTTTTAGCGAGTAAATCGCGTCCAATAGTTGAGAAATCCTGGAGGAGCTTGCGGACCTCCGAGTTGGTGAGGATGAGCGAGAGGAGGGTTCGGAGATGGCGGACAGCTGTAGTATCATATCCCAAATCAATATATGCGTCAGTACTGTCATATATACGAACACTCGCCTTGCTCGCCATCCTTTTTCAGCTTCTCTTGATTCACATCCACGCCTTCTCCTAGATCGCCTGGCTTCAGAGTATCGATCTCCAGCGTGCGGGTATGCCACACGAATGCCTGGAAGAGCTCGTCGGCGTTCTTTTCTTGAACGAGGAGGCTCGCCGTGTCGATGATATCTCGCGTATCTCGCACGAGTTTGCGGCCTTCTGGAGAGAGCTTTTCGAGCGTCACTGGGGAGTGACCGCGAATGTATGCCAAAAAGTTGAGTATCTGCTGGTTATCGGGGAGACGACCCTTTCGCAACGCCTCTATGACGCCGTAAAATCGAATCTACGTCGATGCCCTTAGCTTCGCCAACCGCGTCTCGACTGAGAGAACTCACCTTGCGATCGACGTCGGCGGCTTGAGCATTTCTGTCAACGGGGTCGACGACGGAGCCTTTGGCTGGATTGGCGCTGATATCTTTCGTTGCAGGTGGCAAGGACATGGTGGTTCTAAAGGAAGAGGCATTTCGAAGAGTGGGTCTTTATGTAGAATGACGACTAGCGACGTCACAAGTGGACAAGTGGAAGAGAAACCGTGGGAAAAAAGTTAAACGCGTGACGTCATTTATCTTTGACCACATCGCTCCGAGTCAGCACCACCATAGAATACACCATTCTCATTTGGCGACAATTCTGTACTAAAGTGACGTCAAAAGTGAAGTCACCAGCAGTTTGAATGACGCTTTTGGTCAACCCATGATCATAAAGTTACCTTCAACGTCTCGTGTCGGGTGCGTAGTAAGTGTAAATCTTCGCCCTATTATAGACAAAGTAAACGAAGCTTATCGAGGCAAAAATGGAGCTCGATCAAGAAAATTATTCAAACAAGATACACGATTACAGTACACATTCAAGAATAACCCAGTCTTTGTAAAAAGAAAATCAACTGTAAAAAAGCAAAACCGCGTCGTAAAGATATTCCACCCCTTTCAATCAGTTCGGGGGGGTTCCTGCAGCGCCGTCAGCTGCAGTTCCGGGGGTTCCTCCAGCTCCGGTGACAGCACCATCAGCATAGGCCGGGGCCGCCTTCTTTACAGCGGCACCAACAGACCCAGCAAGGGTGTCGGAAACATTATCTTGCCCTGCACCAGGCGTTCCATCAGCACCTTCAATCCCATTAGCAACAACGCTCTCGGGAAGGATCTTAGCAGCGGCTCCTCCGGAAGTCTTGCCTGCGGTCGTTGCGACGTCGTCAGCACCGGGCGCACTGGGGACCTCTGGAACGTCTGGCTGTTGAGGGACGGGCGATGCGGCCGCGAGAACCGCAAAGAGCGCGAGGAAGGATAGGGCTTTGAATTGCATTCTTTTAAATTGTAATACCGTTAGTCAGAGCGACGAAGAATGACAGGGAACGAAAATACCTTGTGTAGTGAACGACTCAAAAAGTCAACGAAAGTCAATGAATGATTGGACTAGAGAATGACTCTGCGTGGCCAAAAAAAAACGTGAGTGAGACTGAGATGTAAGAAGTAGCTCAAGTAGAAGGCTCACCAGAGAAGTGAGGGATTGCTCTGAGGTTACGACGCTTTGTGAAGCAGACTTTATACCCCACCGACATACGCTGAACCCTGATCCGCGATGAATTTCGTCTGTCATTCACCATGTCGAAAATGGAGTCAAGAGAGACGTGTGGAATGGTGGTGCGCGTACGATTTACTTTCTTCGCTTCGATGAATGATTAATATCGCTAGGCGTTGATGGCGCAATGCTGCGCCTTTCCTTTGTTAGAAGATTTATGACTCAATCGTCATCGTGTAAGTTCATATATATTCAATGCGCAAACTCTCTGCCCCCTTTATAACATACGTACTCGCGCGTCGAAACAGCTATTGCGCATACCAAGCGATGAGTGAAAGATGTGGCGGCGGCAATCGTCGGTACCGTACGTCGCTTCGCCAAACTGACATATTAAACTCGCTTCAACAGCGGAACACATATCTTCCAGAACTTTCTCGACATCCCGATGATCAGCCCACTAATATTGCTTAGTTTCGCTGACATTGACGCCTTCAAGCTAGATAAAGAAATATTTGTTTGGCGATGTCGCGTTCCGACATACACCGTCACATGACTACATCATATGCGTACACAGTGCCAAATATGGTAAGAATTTCCTTCAACTCAGGCTTGCATCAACCACAACGTTAACGTTGGCCACTCCTTCTTGCAGGCACCCGATATTGTCCCGACTCCCGACATTCGACCAAGAAATTTAATTTGGGGCGTGCGTCCACAGCGTTATCCCCGTTTCCAAGGACAAGAGCGGTATGGCCTTTAGAAGCCTCCGCGCAAATCAATGAGAGCGCCACAACCGAGGATTTGCAGCATTCGATCTTCAGAAGCAAGCACCCCGATATTGTCCCGACTCCCGAAATTCAGCCAAATGATTCAAATCTCAAACAGCCGGGGAGCTCTGAATAGACAGGGCGGCGCTTATTGATCTTGTCAGTAACGCGTGTCGTCACTTTACGTCTCTTCAGATACATTCTAAAGACTTGTTTAACATGATAGGTTTTGCGAGACAGCCCGTAATCCCCTTTCAACAAGGTTGAACAGGTCTCCGAGAGTCTGAAGCTCCCACTGTCCTTGTCGAGGCGTATGGCATTCAAATCGGTTGTCGACCACAAATACTGTGTATTTCAACGACGCTAAGTGACTTCGGCATAGCTTACAGCCTATCAAATCAAAACTTATACTACACCAAAGCTCTCAACGAGGGCTTTCCAAAAATATAGTTTAAATGTGCTGCTGCTGGCGATCATGAGACGTGACGCGTATTTCTTCGGTGACAAATCGGGGACACATGACCAGCAACCAGGACGATAAGTCTCCCGTAGTGATTCCTTCGTTCCCAAGGACGAGACGTCGCGATATGGTTTTCATAAAGCCTCCGTGAAAACCCCATATAAAGGAACGCGTCGAATGGCTTTCGAAAGAAAACAACATTTCCCTAAACCCAAGTGATTCACCCACCGTCTAGAACCATATTACCATGAAGTTCACCTTGACCGCCATGCTTCTCTGCCTCGCCCCACTTGTCTACTCTGCCCCGGGCCCAGGCGGCGTTAACGTGTATTGTAATAGCGACTGCACTCCGGGACTTCAAAGATGCGGCGATGGATGGTTCCCGCATGAAGCCTTTCCGAAGGGTGAAGCATGCTGGAGATGCTGTAGAAACGCTTAGTGAGAAACATCCCTTTTTGTTTCCATATCTTCAATAACATTTTAAACGGTAAACCGCTGTGAAAACCCTGGTGAAGTACATCACCTTTTTTTCTCTCTATCCGTCATTAATAACATGTCATGATTGAACAGTTCCCTCTGACTAGATGATATCCTGGTATGGAATCACTTCTCTTGCTACCCAACCTTGTATACTTAATCTTTTAAGAGACCGAGACTCGACCCGAAGAGATACTAGATATCAGTGACTGGGTGGCTGGGATGCAGTTTTTACACAAATGAATATACCCGATTGTTCAAACTAATTGCCTGAACGACACAAATGACACTACTTAGCATCCAAAGATCATTTCTCAATCATTATCCTTTCATTGTCCACAACTTGAACCCAACCCAGTCGGAAATTCGGAGTGCAGGTTCCGCGTTCAGTTCTCGAAGCACCACAGCCAAAACTGGAGAATATAGCAAGGAGAAAATAGTTAGGACTCAAAATTCGGCATTCCAAATGAGGTAAATCGAATGACGGCAACTCCCGAGTCCCGTAAAAAGTTATCCCAATAAACAGACACGTCCGAATCAATACGTTGCATCTCCCCTTCCGCTTTGCACATGGATTTCTTGTGTTCTTAGATAGCCCAGTGCACGCCCCGTACGCGTATCTCTCATTACAAGTCTTTTCATGCAATAGCTGACCCGGATGGATTCAACTGACTCAACGTCGACTCAGTCACGAAATCGCGCGTTTTTACTCATTCGCGTGATTTTAGTAGGTCTGGCACCACCGTCACCTACTACCGATTTCATGCCGCACGGAATATCGACTTGATACTCTTCCCCAACACATACTAGTCGCCTTTGCACGATGATCCTTAGGACAGCACCTTCGAGCTGAGAGGCCTTACGTAGGATCAACGAGGTGCTCGGACGTTTGCTTAACAGAAGCCAAAAGCAAGCGCCCTTTCGACGTTAACGTTTGACATGACGGTCGTCATGACCCCGCTCCCTCGGAGGATAGATTCCAAAATACCCCAAATCCCAAATTCCTATCCGTATGTTCAACCGTCAACGTACGTTTTCTGTCCAGATTGGATACAGTTAAAATCGGGTTTCCCACGCCAAGAGGTCCTAAAAAGCTCTTATTCTGGCATTTTTGCTTTGCAAAATGCATTCTTGGCACCCATCTGGACAGATCTACGTAGGATGCCAGTGTCCAATTCAACTTTGCAAAAAGGACTACCTCTTACTACCCCTGCCAGTTCAAGGATATCCGGACTTGGATGTGGCTTTTTCGCCGCTGTCCCAAAAACCTTGCCCGGATAGTGCCTGGCCTATTTTTCAAATTTCTACTGAGGGAGCTTTCGGGGTCCCGGTTTTAATGGTATCGATAATCAAGAGTCGACCGTTGATGAAGTTGTTTCCGCCAACAGACTCAGCTCTCAGTCCCCCGTTCCTAATATTGCAGAATCACCAGGAATCAGCAGGAATCTTGCCAATATTCACGAGCTCCGTGGAGCTCGCGGCGCATGATTTTGTGGTCACCAGGCTTCGATCCAGGGGTCACCTCAACTTGATCGGCGCAAAGACCGTCAACCTCATGCTCTATGAGCGCAAAAAGCCGGTAACAATGTGAACGCTTTCTGCTTTAGCACCTGTGAAGCATGCGCGGTCCCGTTCTAAAGAAGCACGGAATTTTTGGCCGGCGCCTTGGGCGTAGACCCCGGGAAATTTATGGATTCACGATTAAAACTCACTTCTTTCACTTACCACAATCTTTTGCTTCCCTCGCCCCCCGCCGGGACCTAAACCTTCGTCATGTCTGCGGCCGCTCAACTGCCCAGCGTGCACCGTGTTTCTCTGCACAGCACATCTGGGGCGCTTCAAATCGGGATTTCGCTTTCTCTTTTCCTATTTGGCATCATTAGCGTCCAAACCTATCATTACTATCAAAACTTCCCAGACGACCGACGTTTATTTCGATACTTGGTGAGTGCTCCAATGTATTGTCTATTGAATTTTGCGTCCTGATAATCGTTTCACGAAGGTGGCTACCATGTGGTGCGTCATTTCACGGTCATCCTGAACCAGAATTGTTGAGCGATGGTATCTAGGTTTCTAGAACTTGCCCATACAACGGCGATTTCATACGAGTTGTACCAGCTAACAGTCAGCACCCCCCGTGGTGGAGTGCTCACCTTTCCAGGTCTAGGATCGGCGCTTATTGTCGGGGGAGTCATCACAACTCTCGTTCAGGTGCGTGCTGACGCCTTTGATGAATTTCATGATTAGAATCCATCACTTCTCAGTGCTTCTTCTCACTTCGATTATGGAGACTCTTTCCCCAACCATTCAACTATGTTGGCCTCACCTGTGCGGTCATCTCAGTCTTTCGATGCATCGGCAGCGCTTTCCTAGGAACCCAGGCAGTCAACACGTCTGTGGAAGCATTTAGAGCGAATTGGACGTGGTTAATTACCCTGCTTTTGTCCGCCGGAGCAGCATTGGACGTAGCAATAGCATTGGCCATGCTTTATTTCTTGCTGTACCGGCGACAGGACGCTTTGACAAAGTACGTCCCTGCACGTCTGTCTGTTATTCCTCTAAAATCAGCTCCAGAATGTCCAATCCAAGGGTATCTCGGGTAATCGACCGCCTCGTAGCCTTCACAATTAGTGAGTGTAACCTCTGAAGGGACGTATAGCTGACGGTGCTGCGTATCAGGGTCTGGTCTGTTCACTAGGTGAGACCTTCATTTTAAGCGATTAAGTTGATGTCTGAGAGAGGGGCCCAGTATTGCAGCGGTTGCTGTTCTCGTCTGCGTGCGTTTTCTCGTCGTCGTATTTCCTTTGTGACTAATTTTGAAAGTCCAGTTTTTAAAAATGCCTCAGAATTGTGCGCTTCACGTTTCTCTTGCTGTTTGACCTATTCAAACCTTCCCATAGTTATATGGATGGCCATTTACACGTTCCTTGCGAAGCGTACGTTTTTTTTTTTGGTTCGTCCTATTGCAGTTGTGCCAATCTAATAACCGCGGATCTGACAGTTTACTCCAATTCCCTTCTTTCAGCGTACGCCGTTTGATAGGTTTTCAGTGGGCTACATGCGTAACCGCTTATTTCATTCAGATTAAATGAACGTCGAGAACTTCGAAACGCAGTCGTCAATTACTCCTCGCGAGAGATTCCGTCAAAATCAGTGACCCATAGCCTGCAACGAAACCATGTTAGCCCAACGGTCTGTCCTTGTTTCCACAGTCAATTTTTACGCGCGTTGCTTATCCTCTGTCTGCCTTTTAGTTTGCCAGCCAGGTGATCTCCGTTGAGATGACATCCGTCATTGAGACGCATCGTGACACGGACGACACCGGCGTTTGTTGGGTCAGTCTACTCTGGTGGCCTCCTACCCGCTTCGTATCGTGCTGAGCGCTTTGGTCAATCACAGGACTATCAAACTGGCCCGCAAAGCCCGACGCGAGCTTATCTCCTCTCCCATAAACGGTAGAACTCTGGGCTTCACCCACACAGCTACATATTCCGTCGTCTGCTCTTTATTATGATCATGATGAAGCCGCCCATACAACTGTATTTATACATTATCGTTCCGCTCCTCCTCACGGTATTTTCGTCTCGATTCCACTATCTAGTAAACAATAGTTATTACTACTTGCCTCACATATACCTCTATTGTACTTTCATTTCTACCCATAAAATGCCTTCCGTTCCTTGGTGGCCACAAATTTAACTTCATATTTCGGCCTGCCAACTGTGATATCTAGCGTCTAGCGCGCGCTCGCTACGACTTCTAATTATGTGTCAGTTTCTGGCTAGTAATTCATATACCGTGTAGAACTATTCGACGGTGAAAAGCAAGTAAAAAGAGCATAAATAAATATCTACCCGAGATCTGTCCATTTAAATTTGTCGAATAAGGGATGATAAATAAGCTAAGTTCTCTTTCGTCTTCGTTTGTAACAAGTGTTGCGCCGAAGCAGCCAAACGTTACTACTGCCACAACTCTGACAGTGTGTGATGATAACGGTCTGAATGTTTATCATGCGGAAAGTGCACTGTCATCACCAGTGGTGGTGGTGCAGACCCACTTTTGGGCCTTTCGCAAAACTGAGACTTCAAAGCTGCATGGCGAAGGAGGTTAACACCAGATCACAGAATACCTTAGTGAGATATACGCACCCTGCATCAACCGCGAAAAATCACAGAAGGGACTGTCCTGTTCCACCTCATGACTGTCTTCCAACTGCGTACTTCGTGTCGGTCCCTTCGATATGATATATTCAGTATGTTCGTGACCGATCGTGCCTTGCATGCTGGACACGGTTCGAAGGCGTGGAGCCAGAAGTATATCCGATCCGTTCCTCAACCGTGACCCCGACTCAACGAACAAAGGAGAGGCTCCTGCCAAAAATCGAGCACGAGCTTCGAGAGGGGGGAGAGTTCCGCATCTTGTCGATTTTGGACGCCTTCTTGAACGTCGAACCGTTAGCAAGAAACCATCGTCTTTCTCTGCTTGCGTTTCCGCCCATGAGGGAGGACGGGGATTCACCCAATCAGGGCGCCGAGGTTGAACCCACGAAGGTGTTGTGCACTCCACGCCAAGAGAGCGCCTGATACCTGGTGGGTAGCGCAACCTGACTTCTGGAGGATACTGCAAAACATCACGACCCATTTTTGTGTAGTGGGACTTTTCGTCGACTGGTGGGTATGGAACCGGCACATGAGGTGGCCTGTCGATATCAGGATCAGCGTATATCGGTGGAAACGTGAGAGGTGAGGGCTGAGAAGGGAGAAAGGATAGAGATGCCCTAGAGGAAGGGAGATGAGAGGACATCGAGGAGCCAAATAAAGCAATTCACCTGTAACTTTGAAGTACTTTAGATCACACTGCTGGTGCCGGCGCCGTTCATGTGAAGCCAACGAGTTTGGCACAACTCATTGATACCCTGATAAAGGTACTCTTGTATTCCGACTGACGCCTTCGTGTTTCCGAAACATGCGAAACACTTACACGGGCTGTGCTTGCCCTCCCCTCGTGGATAGCGGACGAAATGGTACCTGTACGGCGAAGTTCGTTCTCCGGTGTGTTGTCGGGGTGGTCAAGGGGTGGTTGAGAATTATTCAGGTCCTATTTGGCTGATGCCCTCAAAACAAACATTGAAGCCCTAAATTGGCCGACGCCGCTTCAATTTGGCGACTTGCTCACCTGGCGATCCCAACTGTGTAAGCTTGATCATGACTAGGACCTCAACAGGACCTCCGTAATCACGGATGTTTTGAGTTTTCATTCGACCAACCATTGAAGTTGTACTGAATCAGCGGCATTCAAATGTTGTTCAAATGTAGCGCCCAAGTACGTGTATTTTTGTATTGCATAAATCGGTAATCGGCACGAAGAAAGGAATGATTGATTGTCGGCAGTGATATGACAAGATGTGAATGTAAGAATGAGATGGTAGACGTGAACTCACTGACTATGTACCAACTATGTACATTCGATGTCAGAATACTAATTTTGGCCCGGCTTGTTGTCATGAATGGATACCTTTGTTGGTAGACTGGCAAGAGGCCGTGTTTAGACGAGGGAAATATTTCCTGTAGACGGGAAATGTTGGAATTTGTTCTTTACATTTACTTTTGATCTTAACCACCTCGTGATTCACTGATGCCAGTGTGCGGTTATATTCGGTAAATAAAACTAAAAGTTAAAATTAAAATGCGTCGAACCTGAAGGGGCCCACACCAGGTACTGACCAGCCCAAGGAGAAAAACAATCTTCAACCCGCGCTGCGTATATGATATCCACAACGGTAGATAGCTTGGTGTTGTTATAATCGGGGGAAATGTAGGCGCCAGCCCACCGCTGAGAAACTATCATCCCAGCCCCAGTGACCAGCGCACCAAGAAATTCCTCGACGTTCTTTGGCTTGCGGCGGTCCAAAGCGACGTCTACCCGTTCCAGCACTCCAACCTTTTCAGAATCACTCCGCTTTTGAACCAAAGACAACAATTTCGCTTCGGAAAAACTCGCGCAATTGCCCTCATTGCATTGAAATTCTTCAAGCATAGGGCACAAACAATCGGAATTTTCGCCGGAAGGAGTGAGGCGATCAATGACTTCATCATCGAGAGAGGAAGAACTGGACAAATTGCTGATACGGAGGTGGATGAGGAGTGGCACGGATTCAAGGAAACCAATAAGTTCATCCCGAGTCAATGAAGGGATATCTATACACAATTGTTTCACAGAGTCACCATTACGCGAAAGGAAGTCTACCCATGAGGGCCGACTCGCATGACTGCCAGAGAACATTTCCTGAAATTTAATCTCAAGATGACGGAGTCTAGGGAGATCGAGATGCTTCAAATGACACTCGTCCCACCTGCCGCTGAGGTTGAGAAAAAGGTTCTCCAGAAGGGGGAGAGTCAGGGTGTATTCGGTTAGGTGCACTTCATGATCGGGTTGTTGGACGATGTCAAACCTTGCGCATTCCAGACTCAAGCCACAGCTCACCAGGAGTGGGCATCTCCTCAACACTTTGATAACATCGCTATAACTGAGACCCATCAAGTTCCCTCTGTATTGGGCTGAGCCGTCGAGGTCCAAATTGAGGTGGGTTAGCTGCGACCAACGCACTGGCAATGAGAGGAGGTCCTGTTTAAGATATGATAAGGAAAGCTTCCGCAATTTCCTAGCTGACAGAAGACCCGAAAATTCCGTCCAGCGCCCACCAGGATTTGAAGCGGGCGGATCCCACCCATTTGTTGTTAGAGACCCACTAGCGATGACGAGAGATTCCAGCAGCGGTACATCATCTTCCGCGAGCTGTTGGAGACGGGTAAATGACTCTTCCGTTGCCCTAAAATCGACTTTTTTCCATCGGCGGCTGGAAGCGAGTATCTGCGCTATTGCAACCTCAAAAGTATTCAGGTTCGAGGTTTCCGATGCATGATGATACACGTGCGTTGGAGTGCAGACGGAGATGGAGATAGGGCTCGCTCCTGAACGGCTGATCCATTCCCCTGCCCCCTCGCAGCGCTTCTCCATCTTGGCAGTGAATGCAGGATCTGGCTGAGCAGGAACTTGCCCAGTTTCAGTGATCTGTATAGGTGTCGGTATGTGAAGGCTCGCCCAAAGCCGCGGGGTTGATAGTGCGATGGACCTCCACGCGCTACAGACGCGACCCAGCAGAATCGGAGCCTCCTGAGGGCTCATGACGGCATTGCAACCGTCAGGGAGACAATGGACGAAGATCTCCCCGAGCACGTCGAGCGGGAGTTGGCGAATAGGAGAGATCAGTGCTCGATGAGCCTCGATCTCATCACTCAGAGCACGACGCTCGTGATGTAGATCGTCGAGAATCGATTGCACCCTTTCTATCTCAGCGTCGAGGCTAGATAAACGTTCAAGGGGTTCGGCCAAAAACTCCTTGATTTGGAGAATTTCTGACTCAGTAGGGGTATAATTGGTGTGGAGATTGGATGCATATGGTGAATTCATCTGGGTGGTCGCCATGCGTGGCTGTTTTGTGCTGACAGATGTGGTAAGAGTTGGACTCATTGCAACCGAGTTAAAGGGTATGGGCTTTTTTATCTGTATTCTTGAAGTGCTTTCCGTGGTCTTCCAAGCTTGGAAGTGTGTCCAACGATGACGGTGATGGTGGTACGAAAGAAAGAGAAAAAAAGATTATGTAAGATAGCGTATTATCTATCATTAAAAAGTACCGATCTACGGAAGGCGTTTGAACATCTCGAGAAGCTTTTGGAATCTTGGGGTTCCAAGGCCTGAGATACACGGCAAAGTTGATGCTCACACTTGCAACAGGGCCCAATAAATAATTAGAACAAATGTACCTCCATAATTGTGGCCAAATTGTGGCCACTTGTAGAATAATGAACCGAATGTGAATCCCGAAAACATCAATTCTCAAAATTGCGAAATGTTAATTTAAGAGGCGGGCGATGATTCTATGAGCAAGATTATGGGTATGCTAGGCGGTAAAAAAAGCTGATTGAAGGGGTGGTGCAATATCTCTAGGACGTGGTTTTTTTGCTCTTTTACAACCGATTTTCTTTTCACAAACTCACCGGGTTAGTCACGTATTTTTTGGATGTGTACTGTGTCGCGTTTCTTATTTGAATAATTTTCTTTGATCAGAGCTCCCTTGTTGCATCCAAAAACTTCGTTTTCTTCCTATGATAGAGAGAAAATTGGATTAGTATGTGAACTAGCTAAACCTATGCCCACCCGACACAACTTGACGCGAGCAATTTGATACCAGATGTCAAAACGCTCCACTTCAAGCTGTTGAGTTGTGGAGCTTCAGGCCCAGTGTACGTGTGGTAGGTGCTTGCTGGGAATGTATGGATTCCTATGTAGTAGGCAACAAGCGGGAAGCAGGATGGCGACGCCTACGAAATGGCTGCTTGTCCAAATGTAACCAATGCATTCGATAACCCATTCTCTATCAATCAAAAATTTGAAAAAAAAAAATATGTAGTCAAAATATCTACGTTCGCTGACGATGAGGATTTGTAAATGTAACCCGAGAAAGCGCAAGTATCCAAAAAATCACGGTAGGTATAGGACAGGTAAACAAAAAGACAGGAATATACACAAGAAAAACTTGAAGAACCGCAAAACTTTAAGGGGTTGGTTGGCCATGTGTGGGTTGGTGGGTGGATGTGGTATACAAATGACGATGTTGGAGGTGGTGGTTATATGCACGATGTCGATGTAAAGGTATAAACATATGGATATGGATATGGATGATGGGACGGGATGGGATTGCCGATGATGAATGATGTACCTCAAAACTCGAAAAAAAGACGGAGCTCGTAGGATGTATAACTTGTGTTTTGTGCATGTGAATGTGGATGTTGTCCGTCCTGGAAGACCCTTGAATCCAAGCGAGAGAGAGAGACTGAGAGAGATTGAGAGAGGGAGAGGGAGGAGGAGGGAAAGAGGCGAAAAAAAGAGAATGAGGAGAACAAGTTCGAGAGCAATTTGGAAAGCGATGATGAAACGACGAGAAGTGAGAAAGTGAAAAGAGGTCGAGGATGAGGGTGGATGGGTGCTCGACACTATCATCCATCCAATCGAGCGACGAATCGATAATGCGATGACGGGGATAGAGTAGTGACGACGAATAGCCGAGGAGGGACACCAGGAAGAGGCGGTGATGGAGGCGAACACAAGCCAACTCCACCCCCATCAGCCCTCCATAACGACGATGACGGGGAGAGGGTGGTGACGGCGAACAGCCGAGGGAGTGACAATGAAAACACCACAAAGAGACGGCGGCGGCGGTGGTGGTGGCAAACACAAACCAACTCACACCGCAGCACCCCCCTCAGCCCTCCTCAAATCCCCAAGCGTAACACTAACACCCTCCCAATCCTCCAACCAAACCCCGCGCTCCTTACACCTTTCCAAAACATTCTTCCAAAACTTCAACACGCGCCTCCCGTCCCTCTCTTCCTTCATCAACCGCATCCTTTCCGCCTTTTTCGCTTTGGAAGAAGAGGAGGAAGAGGTAGGTCTGGTCCGCGGGAGGAAGTTGGTGGGGCGCCATATTGACATTGAAGACGTCGACGCTGACGTTGATAATTGATGCGTAGAGGGGGCATCAGAGTCCATCGACAAAAGCGAAGAAGAAGCCATCGCCGGAACCCTCCCAACCCTCCTCATAAACCCACTAACCCCACTCATATCCCTCACATACAAAAGCGAAGGAAACGCCTCACTCCTCAACAAACTCCCAAACTGCTGCAAAAGCATAAACAGCGGATCTTCTTCCTGCTGCTCCTGCTCCTCCCCATCATCCCACAACCTCCGTCCCTCAGCAGCTTCCAAATCATCCCGTATCCTCTTCTCCATATCCCTCACTCCAATAAACTTTAACCCCGGGTGGGTAGGCAACAACACGTGCGGAGCGATCCAGTCGGGTGATTGCCAATTCCACTCTGCATCTGCTGAACAGATGAATTCTTCCAAGTTCGGACACCATTCCGCCAAAGGGAACTGGCCGATCCCTCCTCCGCCAGTGGAAAGAGGAGGCACACTGCTGGCAGTCCGAGGAGCGGTCAACCAGAAATCTTCAATCGCCCCCGTCGAATGGCCCAGTTCAAGTTGTCGGAGCTTATCCCCGTGCACTTCGAAGAACGCAGCGAACCCTTCGCCGGTGTACGAGAAATCCGCGCTGAGGACGGAGAGATTCTGCAAGGCGGGCATGGCCCATGTCGAAAGGACAGAAAAGGTGGCGTTGTCCAGCGTCACTTTCAAAGAGAGCAGTGCGGGGAGGAGGAGGGGCGGGGAAGAGGTGGATGTGTAGGGTATCGTTGATAAGGGACAGGTTGTGCTGATAGTAGTACTGGTTAATCCCAAGTTCAACTCCGTAAGCATATGTGAGATGGGGCCTGGTCCGGCGGATAGGCTGAGTTCGAGGAACTCCAAGCCCGCCGCGGCGCGCTCGAGTTGTGGACCAACGACGGCGTTGTAAAATCGGATTCCGTGTTTGTAGTCCCGTTCGTCGTGTTCGTAGTTCGTCCAGCTGAGTCGACGGAGGGTTGGTGGGAGGAGGGAAAGCATATCTTCCGTGCCCTTATCTCCATCTAGGAGACCTCGTGGGGGCAATGAAGACGACGAGGAGGAGGTAGCGGTTATAGGAGGAGCATCAAGAACAAGAAAACGCATTCCGGCGCGGCGTATACTCCTAACATCCTGATAAACCTCCAACCCCTTCGCACAGCCGACGATAACCGCCATATCCGCGGGATGGGCACGTTCCATAACGCTCGTCTCAATATGCAGAGCCCGAATATAGCTTCCTGCCTGGCTTTGGCTGTCCAGAAGAGATTGTGCAAGTTTCCTCGCCAACTTGGCGCGAAAGATCCATATGGAGTGGTACAGCACCTCGAGGGCGCTCGGAGTCCACGCACGACACACGAGTGCTAGGGACGCTTTGTATGATAGGGAAGTTTGGTAAGACGGGAGGTGGTGGAGATGATCTGGAAAGGTCAGGAACGATACGGGGATGCGGGAGGAGGTGGATGAGGAGAGGTAGGAGAAAAAGGGGGAGTGAGGACAGGGGAGGGTGGCGTATCGAATAATGAGAAGAATCAGTTCCTGTGGTAGAGAGGAGGCGTAGTGCTTCGCACTGAGCGATACGCGCGAGGGGGTGGGAGGGGTCCTATGGCAAAACTTTGGTTAGTTCTTTGCCAAGCCTGAGAGCATGAGAACAAAGTAACACGAAATGTCCAGTGGAAAAATGGAATGATAAAGCCCAGTAAAGCCCTGGATTATTGGGGCAAGGAAATAAATTGAATGAGTCAGATGATCTTGCCCAGGGGTACCAAGAAAGTGAATGTGATGGGGGGAAAATGGAATTTGAAATTGGTATCGGGGAGGAAAAGCAACGATGAGGAAGAGGAGGAGGAGGAGGACTCACTCAGGGGATGTACTCGAGGATTTCACAGCGTCGATAAACGACGAGAAGAATCTAAGAGGGAATGTACTCGTCACCTCGGATCCTAGAAACGGCGTGAAACACTCACTTCGACGATTTCCGCCGAAACAACGTAGGCAAATGGCCAGAAGGACGCTCGACGTCCACTCTACACTGCTCATCGCCACGCTCTGTCCTCGACGTCGTCTTCCCGTCGCGTTTCTTCTTCCCCCTCAAAGACATCCGCTTCAACATCTTCCTTCCTTGAATGTATCCAACGTAGGTGGCGCGTGTAGCGTGTATAGGCGTTCAGGGTATCTCACCGTCGCTGAGCGAGCAAACGAACGATGTGGACGGGGGGCGAGGCGGAGAGGTGGTGGTCGTTGCAGAGAAGAAGGGTGGATAAAAAAGGAACAAACTGGACCCTGAACCGAATATTCCCACAACCCCGCTTTATCCGGTAAAAATAGGTAATTGCTCCTCCGCGCCGATCGGTACCTGCTCGAAGAACGGCGCTTAAATGTCGGTGTCTTTGGACTGCTGAAGCTTCGGTATGCTTCGGTGTGCAGAAGTTATCCTTCTTTCTTCCTTGCGTCTCTTCTTATATATACACTGGAGGACGACCCTTTGCCAGCAGATCACTTCCAAGTTCCCAGGTCCTGGCGATGCCACGGCAACCACGACGACCCTTCCCCGCTACACACCCCCCAGTTTTTTTTTCTCCTCAAGCAATGTTCTTCATCGCAAAGAGATGCTTCAATTCATCATGTGAGTATGCATCCTCCTTTGTTCCATCATCTTCTAGATGCTTCTTCGCTTCTCTACTATGTACTCGACCTCTTCTGAATCATACTGTTCATAACTCGTTCTGGACAATTCTTTTTGGGCTCTTCGCCGCATTCCGGGACACATACCTCCGTGCACCCTGCCTTTTCCCTTTTCCGCGTGGCAATCTAAATCTTGACAGACTTGTCTTCCACGGTCAGGCTGTTTGTTATCTGACAGAATGAGTGCGCCATTAAGTTCGACATCCAATCAACGTTAACCTAAAGCTCATGCCCACCACAGGTCCTACGTACGCCACTTGGCAAACATGTGTGTATGTACCTCACATACTCAAACCCAAACGCCACTACATCGATTTCACTGTCAGGTTTGTCGTTAAGCATCTGGCAGCTCCAACCAGCGCTCATCACTGGCCTACAGCAACAATATCACTACTTGGCATCCTAAGCTGATAAAAAACACTCGGATTTTCTCGCCGATCGGAGGTCCTCTCCTCAACCGTCCATCCGACGACTCACGAGTCTGCGCATTTAGCTGCGCAGTCAAGTCAACCATACCCGATCCTGCCCGGAAGAAGCAGTGACGTAGCTTAATCCTCCTTCTCCTTGCTTACAAGAAAGAAAAAGCTCAGGCATCTACCTCCCCGGAATCCACCCAAAGCTACGCATCTCGCTGGATCCATACGCATCTCAATCACGCTGGAACCATCCATAATCACTTCACCAAATCCGTTGGATCCATAAACATCGATAAGTATCGCGCTGGCTATGGAATCATCGATATCCATACACGGCCAAATTCAACTTGTTCCTCTCGCCGCAATCCCCGCTCCGACGGATTGCTAGATTTATCCATCCCCTTCTCCTTCAATCCTACGGCTGCATGGTATCCGTAGCGAATTTTGTTTAACCAAGGTTCAATCGTCGTTCATTAAACGTCTCTTGGAAAATTTTGTTCTCCTGGAATTGAGTAGAATATACTGGTAATTTCCACTCGTACCTCCCCGGAATCATCCACCCACCTGGGTCCTGCCGTCGATCCCACAATGATATATCTGCTCAGTTATCACCCATCGCATTAGATAATTCTCGTAACAAACGCGAGAGATGGAAGATTCCACTGAGGATATAGGAACGAGGACTGGATTGGGACTGGAGACAGAAGATTCTGATGAGCAGGTGACGCATAATTCTAGACTCAGGACTAGTACTCTCTTCGGAGAAATTATCCACCAATAGATTCACTCGCAATGTCCGGCTCTGGCTCTGAACCATCAATAGTAATAACCTACTAGTACCCCACAAAATTTCATCGATATCCACACGCTGATCCGTGATACAAATAACCTATCAATATCACCGACCCAGCTTGAGCTAGGCGACCATAACGGCACCAATAAGGGCTTGTCCGCTCCCTAGAATAAATACCCAGACGTGTGAGGTATTTATGGTCAGGACCAGGCCCCAATGGTATGAATTTACTGAGCTAGGTGACCATAACCTTTTATATAGGCACCAATAAGGGCTTGTCCGCTCCCTAGAATAAATACCCAGACGTGTGAGGTATTTATGGTCAGGACCAGGCCCCAATGGTATGAATTTATTCATTCGCGTCCCACATTTATTTCCCCACTTTGGTCATCAACAAGATCGATTCTCCAAGGTTAAGGCACTCATCGGAAGTTGCCTAAACATCGAGTAATATGCCACCCACAGTCCATATATTTACTTCGCCCGCCCGCTTCTCAAAGAGGTCATCAACGTCCATCATCAATATCTAAAATTCCCTGAATCACGAGGCTCATTGTGCAGGGGGTTCTGTCAGGTTCTGTCGTGTTCTGCAGCTCAGGATGAACGAAGAGATTTCGCGATTTTCTGGAATGATTCCTGTCTGACATTTCAATTGTTGATTGTCGACTAGGATGAAGAGGATGAACCTCTGCCAATCTGCTAATATATATATCTGCAAGTCGCATTTTCCTCAGCTCCTAAGCAGCGTTAGTCTCTCCTAGACAGACTTCGATATATGTGAAGTCGTACCTTGGTTCACGATATATGAAGTCTGTTATTTACCACGCCCTCCGAACCGCGTCAGAAAATGCTTATGTAAAGTGCGGACTTTGAAACCGCGTCGCGTCAATATTGTGTCGTTGCCGTTTGCTCTCAACGTGATAACTCATGCATTTCTACTCTAATACACGATCACACTTCAACAAAATTCTGCACGAGGACGTAATCTAGCCAAGCAACGCGAAAAAGGCAGGCCGCAAGAGCTCTCGACGATGACGACGTTGGCTTGACGTTGGCCCAATCTTATCCGACCCGGGTCCTGAAGAAACGGTTCACGAACTTCCCAAACAACAACTCGATGAATTCTCAGACCGAAGGCGCCAAGCTCTTGAAGATACGACGAACACCACAATGCGGCGACGACGAGCTCCTAGAGCCACTCAGCTCAGTGTTGCCGAAGTCCTTCGAGACTATGGTCCGCAGTACCGCAGCCGCGAAATGCTGTTGTAGAAGGATCATTTGGGTAGTGGAAAAGAGACTGGAGGTCTGAGGGGATCGAAAAGAAAGTAATAATCATTGCCTACTTTAGACAGTGTTATGCTACTCCAAATTATATGTATAATCTTCTTCGTCGACACCGTTATTACCATCAGAAAGAGCTCCGTAGTCCTCAAAGCCATTGTCATCGTCACTCGAGTTTTCTTCGCCCTCTCCACAAGCTTCTGCGCGTCGCTTTGCGGAAGTTGGATGAGTTGAGGTTGGCTCAAAGATCCACCAAGGGAGCCAAGATTGTTGAATGGAGAGCCAAAAAATAAAGGTGTAGTGACGACCCATGTTAGTCATTTCGAAATGTCGCAAGAAGAGAACTCGATGGAGATGGCAGGAAGGGTGTGATAAACGCCGGAGTTTCGGGTATTTCACGGATTGGTTCTAATTTCTTGAAGGATCTGACAATTTGAACATTGTTATCCGTTGAGGTTGAGGTTGTCATCTAATACGAATGGAATTTGTGGTGGTAGATGGTGTTACAAAGGTTTAAACGCGTCGAGAGTTCTGAGGGCGTCTCAATATTGACGCGACGCGGTTTCAAAGTCCGCACTTTACATAAGCATTTTCTGACGCGGTTTTGGGGGCGCGGTAAAAACAGGACTAAAGCAGCGTCTAATTAATTTGGCTATTTAATAAATGTCCCAAGTGCTTTTCAAAATGAAAATATCAAGCTCTTACGTTCAAAACAAAAACCAAGTTCGACAAAGTTTCCAATTTAGATGATTCTCTTCCCTTTCCCCGCAATTTACTAGCTTCCACCCTTATCGTAATAATCACCTTTTTCAGTGCCGAAAAATGAGCCCGTTGAAGGACATTGTGCACTTCCCCCACAACACCATCCGTCGAAAACCAGCGGCCGGCCGACCCATTGATGTTTATTTCTTCAAGTTGCGATGGGGCATCGAATTCAAGTCCGTTTAATAGCCTGCACAGACCCTTCACGGGGTTCGCGGAGCTCGCAACGAAATAGTAGTTTTCGATGTTCAAACATCTCAAACTTCGCAGAGACCGAACTCTACACATCTGATCTAATCCTGTCAAGTCCTGATTAACCAGTGAGACTGCAATGAAATTATCAATAAACTCGGCATGATTGGGCAAAGCAGGACTTTTGAATACCTGTCATAATTTCTAATTGTTCGACGCTCATTAAAAGCATCCCAGCGGCCTCGATATCTTCCTCCACCGTCAAATATATGGTGAGGGAGGAAAGACGTGAAAAATCGAAAATTGAATCCTTGTTGTTTCTCCTTGAGTAAATAAGCGCCTCCATGGAAGTGACGTCGGTTCCCCTCTCAGTGCCCCGAAATGAAAACGTTGACAAGCGCACTGGGGGGCCTGGCAGCATTTTTAGTTGATTAGAAAGTGGGAGGTCGTTTTGAATGGACGCCCGGTTAAATTTTAACTCGACGAGGTTAACGCAAGGAAGGAATGCTGTGATGGGGAAGCCGGCTATATGCCCGAGTGTCAAGCGTGTCAGCGTCGGCGCTTGGATTAAAATAAACGATGCGGATTTGAAAGACTGTGGGATGTTTTTCCAATCAGGTGGGAGCGTTGGGTTGAAGACCAGAGATAACGAAGAAAGCCTACAGAACCCTCCCACAAGCCGAGGAAGATATCTGACGAGGGCTCGACGAGGAGCGATGTGGCGGTCGAAAGTCAGGAAAAGGTCCAGTCGCTTGATGTTGGAGAGAATATTTGGATAATTCTCAACGACGCGTGAAAAACGCTTGACACAGGCGTCGTTGAGCGTTACTGACGAGAAGAGGTGTTTTCTGCAGTAAAGGAGGAGATGTTGGGCGGTTTGGGAGAGCGCCCTAAGGCTTTCAAGATCATGAGCCGCGTCCAGATGGTCGACTATTTCCGCAATAATTTCAGGAGGAAGGGCTGGGGAAGAAGCTTCATTGATGGGTGGCCTATTAGCCGTGGACATTGTGGTTGTGGATCAACTAGGTAAGCGCCCTGGGCTGTAGGAGGTCCGGGAGAGTTCGCGATTAGTTTTTTCTAGGAAAGATAGCCGAAATTAAGGTCATCTGAATCTGGTTGGTTTGACTTGGGTTTGACATATCACGGGAGCTAGCCTTTGATCCTTGTTCAATTCTCGTTCCGTGTATGAGCATGACGAAAGATGTTGGAAAATGGTTGGAACATCAGGCCTCAGGATTCAGCTTCACACAACGATTACTATTAGACTGTCAACATGCTGAATCCTCCCACGGACATTTTCATGATCATGAGTCTCAACAAATGGATCATACGACTATAACATTCGCGACTATAACATTCGTTGACTCGGTAGCCAATCGGTAGCGTGGAACGCATGCAGACACCATAAATGTCCTTGTCGATTAGTGGTTAAATCATCTCGTTGTGGTATGCACTTGCAGTAGCTCCGAGAAGCCGGAAGTTCGAATCCTCCCTGGGACATCCATCGAATGCGAATGCTTTTGCACGCCAACATCATGTACTATGATGTAAGTCTATGATGTAAGTAGCCTACGTTTTTGGCGTGTTCCTGCGCAGCAAATTGACGACATTGATCCCGTCCCCGTTTCACAGAATTCACACTTTGTTTTTTTATTGTGTAGCATTATACGACTCGGAATATTAACCTTCTTCCTGCCCACAAGCAGCGGGTACCTTACATCTTCTACCCAACACTATTTTCAATGATCTAGATCTGTAGATACATTTGTTCGGTCACCATTTCCCCACATAAAGCTCACGGTGTCGGGCTAAGTAAACGTATCAACTTTTAGCAATGTTTTTCTTCCACTTCGATCAGCATCGTCTTTAAGTTTCGCTCTTAATCTATGTAAGAATCGACGTATTTATTATGTATAAGGACTAGCTCGTAACCTGAGAAGATTAGGGACCTGGGACCTAGTCAAAGCTTGCAGCGTTGGCACCCCTAATTACCGTCAGAGTTTCTCAACCCTCGTCAGGCGTGGCGCAGAAAGACTAATCTTTAACAGGAATCCCACACGGTCCTACACACACTGTGATGATTGCCTGTGGTTTGACCCTTCAGACGGACGGTAAAGTACACCAGATCATCACGGACGCGCAGGTAAGGCGATCTCTTTCCGAGGAAGTGGTGCAAAGGATGGTGTGAACAGGAGGGTGAACGCGGTACGTGTAGCAAGGAAGCCAAGAAAGGACATGTCAGCTAGGCCTCAACAAGTTTTTGGGAGACGGAGGAGGTCTGAAGTAAGGTTGCGCTAACCAATGCGGCATGACAGCCAACCCAGTGATAGGTTCAATCGTAATGAGTTCCCTCAGTGGCGTTCCTGCGACCTCCAAAGAGTCGCGCTAAGATTAACCAAGTCAGACCCTACTCAGGACAAATCGGACAGAAAGACGACTCACGTCCATGCGAACCTTCATCTCCTCACAAATATCCACATACTCCTTCAACCACTCCTCTCCGCCCTTCTTCTGGTCGACCTTCGCCCTCCCAAGCCGATCGCGCAGATCCAGCTCTTTCGCAAGACCCGGCCGCATGATCTTGAATAAGTGCCCCTTAATCCCGCTCACGCTAGTTCGGGTCTTCAGCTCCTGCACGATGGTCAGGTATTCCAGTGCCAGGTCCGCGTGCAGCGGGTGCCGGGAGAGGATTTGGGCATCAGAGAAGTAGTCGTCGTGGGTGCTGGGGAGGGGTATCGACCCGGAGACGGTGAGTCCAGAGAAGAGAGCAGGATTGTACAATTGGCCTTCGGCGCTCATGACCCCGTCCGCACCGGTGGCTTTGAGACAGGCGTCGATGTCGGATTGGTAGAGAATGTTTCCGTTGGCGAAGACGGGGATGGTAACCGCTTCCTTGACGGCTCGAATCTTGTCCCAGTCTGCGAGACCCTGAGAGAACCAACTTGAATTAGGCGAGATGTCAGATACATTGTCAGAGAAGTTGACGTACCGTATTCTGCCCGCGTTGTTCTCGTAGCCGCCCGTGGCATGTTATAATTTGCGCCCCAGCTCTTTCCAGCATCTTGGCGTACTCCACCGTCTTTTCAACGCTAGGGAAAACCCGAAATTTAGCGGTGACGGGGATGGAAAGGTTGACGTGTAAAATGTTGACTATTCGAGATATGGTCAGCAACAGTAAGCAGAGGATGTAACAAGACGAGAACAGACTGAGGTTATAGATCAAATCCCATTCATCCTGCAAAAAACTTCCATACCAACCACGTTTTGCGATGTCTTGGGGACAGCCAAGATTGAGATCAATGGCATCGCAATAACGTTCGACCACCTTGGCTGAGGTGAGCAGTTGTTCTGGGTCGTTGGCGCAGAACTGGACTATCAGTGGCCGGTCAGTCGTGGGGTCGCCCTCCTCCCCTGAGATAAGGTCGAAGTTCTGCTGGCGGTATGTCTTATTCCCAGCGTCAACAAACAGCTGGAAAGGGCCTTGTTAAGAGGGGGTCAGATCAGAAAGAGAGGTAAAGACGAACTTTCGCATTGATCATCGGACTATAGATGAGCTGTAGCGCAAAACTGATCAGCCTTCCCCTGGGGCACACTGGTTCGTGTAAATGACGGCTCACCTGGCCTCCATATCTCCGCGATAGCCTCCTCCAAGCCTTGAAAATACCATCGTAAACGATCAGCTTCTTACTCTCAATAAAAAGACGCACCAGCTCACTTTGCTCAACCATCGGGGCCACGATGTACTTCGGACTCCCTAACACATGTCTATAAAACTCATATCCCCCCAGTTTCTTCGGTATCGTTGTATTCGTCATGACCCTCGTAAAAGCTTCGGGCAGTAGGACCCAGCGTGACAGTTGGGTAGCTGCTTTACTCAGCGCCACAACGGGAGGGAGAATGCTATTCCGAGAAAGTTGTACAAGTCTTCGAGTCAAAGCTATCTGTGTTGTCGACGTGCCGCCGTCTTAATTGATCAAGGCACGTCTGCGGACAGACAAGTGAGTGTTTTATCAAAGTATATCTCAAAAGATGCTCACATTACGAATGGAAGATTGCAATTCTAATTCTGGCCCCTTCGCTCGTCGTCCCAATTGTCGTCCTTAGAATTACTGTGGTATCTCTGTTCTAGGGCGTCAGTGGTGCCATTGATCCCAATAAGATACGCATCAACCCACCGTTCTTGCTCTAGAGGTCTAAGATATCGTGAAAAGTCGCTTCGTCGACGTCGTGCTTGGTGGTGAGGAGGAGAAAATCGTTGTTTGGCATTGTGTCTGATCGGTTTCTTTGTTTCTCTACACCATCATGGACATCGGCGACGATGTCCCCCCTAAACCTCGCGAACGGCTAGAGATAGAGGATGAGGACGACAAGCAGGAGAGAATTCGTGAGTTCTGAGATTCTTCCGGCATGAAAAGAAGAGTTACTTCAAACCTTAGGCCTAATTCTGGAGAACCTGAACTCATCGTCAGCAACGACCAGCTCAACACGAGATTCAGGCCTTCCCCGGTTTGATTTTGGCGATAGGAAGACATATGAGGTTCCCCCTCCTTCTGAACGTGCGTGATCCGCCAGGATGTTTCTGGTGTATCTCTCAGAAGAAGGTTACATGAATACAGTGCTGTCGCGCGTCCAGGCATTCCTTCCTCAAATCGCGGATTCTAACAATGCCCTATCGCAACGCGCTCAGGAAGATCCGAGTAGCGTAGATATCGAACACATCGAGGAAGGAACAGAGGGATACATCGAGATGGTACGCTTTCACCTCCGAACGCTTCACCTTCTCACCTCCCACAAGAATCTTGGTTTGGGAGTCTTCGAGAATAAGACCAAAAGAGACTCTTACGACGAGGAAATGTCGTCGGACTCCTCAAGTGACTCATCGGACTCCTCTGGGATGGATGAAGACGACCCAGTGGAAGGCGACTGCAACACTAGCTCAGATGCATCCTCCGAGATCATCACCTGTTTCGTTCCATCAAGACCTATCAAACCACTCCCTCGCCGCTCATTGAAGACTACCTCACGCCCTGAAATAGTTGTTTTGAAGGATGAGTCGTAACACCTGCTTTGCTTTCCTCATCCCATCAGTTTCTAGCTCATCGTGCTTTGTTCCAACTATCCACAATATATTTGGAAGTGCATGCGGTGTCATGCTCATCCTTTTTCAATATGAGATTCTGCCTGGTCAAGTGAATCACAACACGCCATTTGGCGATGCTTATAACCTTTGGTTATCATTGGTCCGCCCATCAATGTCCAGCAGATAAGTATGACAGAGTGGAGATAACATTCATGTTGCATACATCTTTTCTAGCGGATCAATACGAATAGAAAACTGGCGGAATCACAGACCTTTCTAAGCATCGTATGGGGCATCGTTTTCAAAACGCGCCATTCATCCGACTGTGTTGCACCGAGCAATTCAGATCGCAAGTTAGTCTCCCGTAGGCAACTCCTATGATGATGGTGATGACAGTCAATCTCCCTCATATATCGCAAGTTGTGATTGGGGAAGTTATCGGGAGATCGTCGGTCATCTAGCTAACCAGTTGCATTAGCCTAAAAAACGTCACCTAAAAACGAATTTATTTCGGGGCTGCCAGTACCATTTGTTTCTAGAGGACCGGGAATATTACAGTGGTTCAAGAAAAAGTAACTATCAATAAACTACAAGTATGCTTCGCTGAGCCTGGGGTGAGCTTTCCCCGAATTCGATCTGAAATGGCAGGTATCAATTACAATAATTATGTGGTACCCGTGCGCTTCGTTTGTCCGCAATTGTAATCAGGTGCATTTGATACTGAGTTTTTTCACGTTTGGGAAGAGGGCCGCAACGAATTGCCTGATTAGAACTTGATCACCGGAAGACGTTACAAGGTCCAGAGAGACGAGGCTTGGCGCACAGGAAGACCTTGGGATGCTCCATTTAGTGAGATCCGCCAAATCAATGGGGAGAGTCAGCTCCCGAAGGTTAAGACTGAATAATCCGATTGATTCGAGCGCATGAGAGGTTGTCTTGAAGGCCTTCGGATGATGCTTATATGATATATGTAACGTTTGTAGATTCTTCAAGCCTGAGGCGATGCCGCGGATTGTATCATTGGTGATCTTAACCCAGGAGGGCAATGTCCTGAGGGCCAAATCTTGGATATGTGAAAGATCAAGGAGGGGGTTAAGAATGCTCAATGCCTCCACTGACGTAGCCTCAACAGAATTATACCGCAGGACGATTTTACGCAGGGAGGGGAATCGAGATAGGTGGGTTAGACATGCACGTCCGCGTTTCGTTGTAATCTCATCAAAGTTGATCCGTTGGCGAACCAGCTTTTTCCCTGAAATCTCCTGCAGAAATAGGAGGCATGACTCTTCTGGGCCCTGCACAGATAAGAACCGAAGATTGGGAAGTAGATTGGTTGGAATGATTGTATCATCTGGAGACGGAATCCATTCCAGTGTGACCCAGACGGTCAGGTTCTGGAGATCTGGCAACTGCTTGAAAAAATGGGCGAGATCAGGAAACGTTTCCTGACATTTTAACAAAACCAAGGTCCGTAATGAAGTAAGCCGTAATGAGTGGTTGAAAAAATAATACGGAGGTGGTCCGTTTATTGTGAGATGCCGAAACTGGGATGCCTTGTCGAAAAGGAAGGACAAGATGGCCTCGCACATCTTTTCACTGGCGCGATTATAAATGCGCAGCTGTCGGACGGACGCAGATAACAGGATGGGAAACTCTGAGGCATATTTCGCCGTATCTTCCTTGTCCGTCAGAGTGTAATTCAGGCTCTCTAAGGAGGGAAGAATTGCACGGCCAGGAAACCTCATTGATAAACGCGAGTAGACGGAGATATGGATGGCCTGTTCTGTCGACTTTCGCAACGGTATGAGGAGGCGCCGTATTCGACAACTGTAACTCCAGAATCGGGAGCAAGTAGCGTCGTGTAGTTCGCCGTTTATAAACTGTTCTGAACCTGTTAAATTGACATCACGGATTGACGCCTGCACTAACCAAATTGTTATCCAAGAGCTTGATACCAGGAAGGATGGAGATCAGGGGAACGAGGTCGACCATTTCATACCAAAGGGTATCGAGAGCGATTTCGGAGAAAGCCTTGCAGCAAAGGGCACAAGCTAAAATTGTCGCTGTGTCTCCGCGTTGTGCGCTTGCACCACTGATCGTCTGAGGCGCATAATATGAAAATATCTCTTTGATGATTTCTGGTATTCCGAGCGCACGGGGTACCTGGGTAAGCGCTTGTACCATCACTGAAGGGTCAAGTTGACGAGTTTTGCTTCAAGTTGTCCTACAGTTCGTCCCTACTCAACTCGTGTAGAGGATTGTAAGAAGCTGAGCGTTAAATATTGAATGGTGGGGTGGAATCGTGGAGAATCGTGGTCCAGTCGCTGCGTGTGAAGAAAATCATTGTTTGGTGTTGTGTGTCATTGGCTTCAAGTTCTTTCTCCGCCGTCATGTTCACTTGCCACCGATTTGTTTTTTCAACGAGAGTCAATGTATAAAGTCTCGATACCCCTGGATGTGTGTGTGTTTCTCCACTTTCTGTGCGGCTCTGAGATCGCGAAAAAGCCTACCGCGTTGTTACAGTGTACACCGCTCTCCAAGTTCAAGTCTCCTCAATTTGCCACGCAGTCGGTACGAAGCTACGAATGTCATTTCAACAAGCAACGAGGATTCGAGGAATGGATGCTGCTTACATCAAGAAGGAGAAAAGGGAGACTTTGACGCGGCGCGATTTCTCTGCAGCGTGCTTTCCCTCCTCACCTTGCGCAAGGATCTTGGGATGGGAATCTTTGAAGACAAGATCAAGAGTGACTCATATAAAGAGAAAACATCTGCAGAGTTAAATGGAGCTTGCGAATATACTGGCACGGAGAGGGCGACCTTGTGGTTTGAGGTCTTCTCAATCATTACCTGTTTCGAAAACATATCTATGCCGTTCATTGAAACCACCCCCACGCCCTCGAATTGTTCCTCTGACGACTAGATTGGAGTTAAATGCTCGAAGAATTAGAGGGGGGTTCCAGAACTGGAATATCGAAACCTGTCAGCCTCCCAGTCCAGCCTGCTACTGCTTCTGTCTCGGATGGTACCCCCCTTCATCCATGCCAGCCACCCTAGAGGTGTATATAAACTCGCCACTCCCCACATCCTTTTCTTCACTGGTCCTCCACCCAGTTGCCTGTCCTTTCCTCCTTTTCCTCTCCTCCGCCCTCAATGCGCTCTTCGCTCATCCTCCTCTGCCTTCTCGGCTCCGCTCTTTCCGCGCCACAGTCATTCACTCACGTCGTTCACGAACGTAGAACCGCGGAGCCAATGGACTGGGTCTCGTCTCGCCGGTTGGAGCGCGACTTCATGGTGCCGATGCGGATCGGGCTCACGCAGAACAATTTGCACAGCCTAGGAGACATGCTCATGGCTGTCTCTCAGCCCGACTCGCCCGACTACGGCAATCACTGGACGGCGACTGACCTCGTGAAGACGTTCGCTCCTAGTACCGAGACTATCGATGAGGTTAGTAAGTGGTTGGTGGAATCCGGCATCGCTCGCGACCGTCTTCACTTGTCCCTCGACCAAGGATGGATTCAGGTCAACGCGACCGCAGTGGAGGTTGAGGAGTTGTTGAAGACCGAGTATTACGTGTTTACCCACCCTTCCGGACAAGAGCAAATCAGTATGATTTTGCCCCGCTCACTTTCGTCTTGACCCTGAACTATTTGCCCTACAGGTTGCTCCGATTACTCTGTTCCGGATCACGTCCAGTCCCACATCGACCTTATCATACCTACCGTACACTTTTCTAGCCGCCCAACTACAATGGCCCATCGCAAGCGGTATGGTGGAGTCGGCTCCCCTGACGTGAAAAACGGCCCTTTCAGATCAGACCAAGCCATCACCCTTGAAAAGTCGGATTTACAAAATTGTGACAAATACATCACCCTCGACTGTCTGCGTGTTCTCTACGGCATCAAATACAAACCCCGTGCGACAAGAAGGAACTCTTTTGGCATAGGTAAGTACAGTTTTGATCTCGACATTCCGCTCATTTTGACGTTATCGATAACAGTGGAGTTCACTCCTCAGTCCTACATTCCGAGTGACCTGGATTTGTTTTTCAAGTTGAGCGTCTCTCCTTCTTTTTCGCCTCGTGTCCTAAACCGGAAAATTTAGAAACTTTGTGCCCAACCTGGTTGGATCTAGGCCTAAACTGGAATCGATAGACGGTGGTGAGTCTTTTTTGTTCTCAAAAATCTCGATTGGAAGTCGTAGTCTAACTATTCTTGTAGGAATGCTGCAGTTCAACATGACCGGCTTCGATTACAATGGTGAAAGTAATCTTGACCTCGAATACGCAATGGGACTGGTAAATCCGCAAAAAGTCACGCTGCTGCAGACGGGCGATGAGATCGTAGGTTAGTGTCTTTTCAAACTTCCTCTTTTCGCTTTCTGATTGTACAATCAGGTGCATCGTTCAATACCTGGCTTGATGCCGTCGATGGAACATATTGCACTCACAAAGGAGGAGATGATCCCAACTTCGTGAGGCCTCCTTTCATTCACCCCTCATTGTAAACCTTTTATCAATACGCCATTAGGATCCCGTATACCCGCATGGTCCCCCTGGATACACGGGTACGTACTACTATACCAACCTTTGTTAATCCTTTGCCAACTTCGTACGAATAGGTCCCAAGGCATGCGGGATCATCAAACCGCCTCACGTCATCTCTATCTCTTACGGCTATAACGAAGTAGATCTCACCCGCAAATACGCTCAGAGGCAGTGCAACGAATACGGCAAGGTATTTTCCAAGCCCATAATAACGGGGATGTTCTCGTTGACAACATCAATGCTTCAGTTGGGATTAATGGGATCGTCGGTCTTCTACAGCAGCGGTGACAACGGTGTCGCAGGAAACGGCAACCAATGTGTTAACCCCTCAACAGGTGAGCGATTCGCAGCGTAACCTACTTCAATACTTCCATTGACGTTAATCCATAGGTCAACTGGATCCCAAAGGCACCGTATTCACACCATCGTTTCCCGCACGTTCTTTCTTCCTCCGCTCATTTTTTTCTGCTGATGAGTAAAAATTAGGGAGGATGCCCTTGGGTTACATCTGTCGGAGCGACCCAAATCAATCCCGGATCCTCTGTTTATGCCCCCGAAAGCGCATGCGAGCAGGTTATCTTCTCCGGCGGCGGGTTCTCCAACTACTTTTCGTAAATTCAATTTATCTACTTCAGTGACCCAGCGCTGATTCACCTCCTTCAGGATACCAGATTATCAATGCGAACAGGTCGATCACTACTTGAAGAAACACACTTCTCAATATACAAGCGCGCAATTCAACAATTCCGGTAGCGCTCGCGCTTTCCCAGATGTCGCAGCTAATGGGTGGGTTGTATCTTTTTTCCACACCTTCCGGCTGACTTCAACCCATGCTTATCCTTCTCACTAACCACAGTGCCAATTATGTTGTTGGTAGGCCCGTCGTTTCCAAGTCATATTCACAAATTCACTGACTGTCTGAAGCGATCAACGGTGAATTCTACCTCGTCTATGGAACATCAGCGTCGTCTCCCGTTTTCGCTTCGATGATCTCAATGATCAACGACGCCCGCATCCACATGGGCAGAAAGCCTGTAGGATTCATCAACCCAATGGCAAGCCTTTTCGATATCTCAGGAGTCAAGATGCTCTTGATGACGGCCCTTCCGCCTCTTAGATTTACAGTCACAAGTTCAAGTCCGCGTTTAACGATATCACCACAGGAAATAACCCTGGATGTGGCACGTCTATCTCCACCAAAGTCTCCCGTTTTTGTTAACGAGTGTCTCTATAGGTACTCAAGGTTTCAGTGCAACAAAAGGATGGGATCCAGTGACCGGTACGTGGCCCGTTGATTATCATTAGGGATGTCGATGAGCATTAACCTCGCTGTGTGTCTCAGGCCTTGGAACCCCAAGATTCCAACAGCTTCTCGAGATGTTCAAACGCCTTCCGTAGATCACGGTATTTTTTGATGATAGATACGCCACACGTTCTGCTACATATCTTATATAATCTTTTTTTCTTCCTACCACCATCACCGTCATCGTTGGACAGTCACTTCCAAGCTTGGAACCACGGAAAGCACTTCAAGAAGAAAACCCATACCCTTTAACTCGGTTGCAATAAGTCCAAATCTTACCATAACTGTCAGCCCAAAACCGCCACGCATAGCGACCACTCAGATGAATTCACCATATGCATCCAATCTCCACACCAATTATACCCCTACTGAATCAGAAATTCTCCAAATCAAGGAGTTTTTAACCGAACCCCTTAAACGTTTATCTAGCCTTGACGCTGAGATCGAAAGGGTGCAATCGATTCTCGACGATCTACATCACGAGCGTCGTGCTCTGAGTGATGAGATCGAGGCCCATCGAGCGCTGATCTCTCCTATTCGCCAACTCCCGCTCGACGTGCTCGGGGAGATCTTCGTTCGTTGTCTCCCTGAAGGTTGCAATGCCGTCATGAGCTCTCAGGAAGCTCCACTTCTCCTGGGGCGCATCTGTAGGGCGTGGAGGTCCATCGCACTATCGACCCCGCGGCTTTGGGAGATCTCCATTCATTACAACAAGCCGGGCCAAAATTAGTATTCTGACATCGAAAGTAGTCAGTGAGTTCAAGTCTACCATCTTATTTTTACATTCACAGCTTGTCATATCACTGCCGACAATCAATCATTCCTTTCTTCGCGCCGATTACCGATTTTATGCAATACAAAAATACACGTACTTGGGCAATACTTGGGCGCCAAAGAGAGAAGATTGTGTTCGCTAAACGAAATTTTGCTGACTGCGCTACGGTAGGATATATTTTGTTCCTCCTTGGAAGTTCGGAGATACCTCGGGCACGGGAACGATGGGTTCTAAACTCAGACCCAGGCAACCTCAGGCGACACAAGAGATGAAAATTCGCTTCGCTTACCACACACATTTGTGCCGCTGGTGAACTTCGCGAAGTCTTCAAATTTTGAACTTTGAGAAAAAAAGAGTCCCATAGTCGTTCTGAATCTCTGTCTCGGGAGTCGAACCCTCCTCTCGCCCTCTTTTGATATATATTCACTGAAGGGGGCGTGGCTTGCCGGTGTACCAATAGAGATATATCTGATCGAGTCCATAGTAGCATTTCATGAAGAAGTTGAGGTACCCACAGGAAGGCGGAATTTCCTGCAGGTTAGAAAGGCAGAATCCGCAATTTTCAGAGCTTACAAAAGAGCGATCTGTTCGTCTAGAATCTCTTGAGGATTCGAACCCCACTTCTCATGCCCCCGCGTTCCGCTCAAACAGAGGACTTTCTACGATGCGCCGTAAGTATTTTCCGGTGTACTGATTAGAGATATCGTAGAACCTCCCTAATATCCTTAATTGTGTTTGACAGGGGTGAAGCCTGTTGCGGATGAACGTTGACACTGCACTTGGAGAACGCATATGACTAACGACAAGCTGTGCCGCATGAATGACGAAGGACATAAATCCGTTACCCTTGCGGTTGCTAGAAGCTTGATCAGTGAACGCTAGTGAGCTGAATGTGCAAAAAGTTGTCTTACCTCTCTAGGTAATCTGTGCGTCAAGAAGTTCAAGAATTGAAATGAGTAAATGGCCAGAGGCAATGCAGGGGTATACCCACAACACCTTCAACAGAGGAACGGTTCGTTATGCACCAAGTTCGTTGTCATGGTCGTCGTGATTGTCACCTATAAAATGGATAAATCAAAGCTAGACATGAGGGTGTATGCAGTCACGTACTTACCTCCCCTATGTTGCACCCGCACTCCCCTTCTCCAGCGCCGCCAACTTCGCACCGCTCTCCTTCGCCCCCAACGACGCCTTCCCACCATACATCAGCACCACTGTAGTCTTCCGCCTTCACCCAGCGCAGCTATACCCCGACGGTGGCTCATGCGGCTTCTGGGCATTATCTTGAGTCGATGGACGGATGATTAGACACGTTGCGTCTACTTCTTTGCTGTAGGTGTCGGACGTGCTTGACTTGTTCCTGGGCTGATGTGCTGAACAGTAACCGACGGTGGAGATGAGCCTGAGGGTGGTGGAGGGCGGCAACGCAGATGGATGAGAGCATTATGGGCGTTTTCTTGCGTGTTGGCGTTGGTGGTTGCGAGGCACTTTGCGTATGGGATGGGCAAAGTCACAAAACGAGTCTTTTATGTCCGGATGCTGCGCAGCCTGCGCATTGGACTCTTGGAGAGTTCCTGTATCGCATTTATCGGGAAAAAGACGAACACGGAACATTCCACGTACTCACATAGCTTTCCTTGAGCAATATCAATGATCAATCTTGGCCTGCGTGTGGACAGCGGGGTTTTTGAAATGCTGGAGAAATGGAGAGTTTAATACAAGTCTAACATGATGAAATCACTGGCACAGCGTATGGGGGCCGGGGGGTAGAAAGTGGTCGGAGGATGGGATGGGATGGTGGGATGGATGGACGTTACCTGTTATTGTTCCGTGTACTACGCATCCATTTTTCAGCTCGATTGTCACCGTCTCATTGCTCGAAACTTCGACTTCATCGAGAGTATGTAAAACGCATTTTTCGTCGTGAGGGTGGAAGAGTGTGACATGTGATGCGTGACGCATGACGGACTTGTACCGTTTTCAAACCGAACTACTTACCTTCATTTTTGTCTGCGCTGTTTTGAACGTCCTATATGCTGCTGGTTATGTAGTATGCGAGGACGTGCTACAATGAAGCGACTGGTGTCGTGCAGTCGTAAGTAAAAGGAGCCCGTAAAACGCAATTAAGTAACTCCGCTATTTTCTCATCTGCAGGACTGAATTTTTGAAGCATCAGCTCTCCGGAATGGGTAGGGCCTCCCCCCATCTCATACCACCTCGAGATCACCATTCTCCTTGCAAAATGAAATGCGAGGCTCTTCCAAACTAACTAAATCCCCGCGTTTCGGCGCAATAACAGTCAGTAACCTCTATTCACCAAACCTCACATCTACTAAGCTTACCTACCTTTGTTCCGCAAACAAAACTCAGGAATCCCAATCAGAATAATCGTTCCCTCATTGAAATCTCCCACCAACGGAGAGAACGAAGGATACGTCGACCCTCCCGCAACCGGACTCAAAGTCTCAAACCCTCCGCCTTCCCCAACTTCCGCTCAGATGTAATCTGAGAGCGGCGCCTGTGCCAGTGCCTTTACAAGCACCCTTGAGACGTGGTCGGAAAAATTGGTGAGACACTTTGGGTTGACAAATACTGGGACAGCTGAGACGGCGCCTGCTCCTATGTGGGAGGAGGCACAAGTCATTCAAACAGGACGAGGAAGGAGAAGAGGAAAGAGTTCGATATACCCATGTCGTTCTTTTCTACGACGAACCAGAAACGGACGGGAGGGAAAGCAGATGTTGTTTTTCTCTGCGACGAACCAGAAATGGATGGATGGGAAAGCCGGCTATGCCCATGTCGTTCTTCTCTGCGACGAACCAGAAACGGACGGGCGTTGGTGCTATCAAGCGGAAGGTTAAGATGGCTACGCGTCTTGTTGTGCTTAGGGGCGCGAAAGTGGAGGATGGGAAGTTTAGGGGGATGCCGTACTCCAAGGAAATTTTTGATAAGGGGGAGGTGAGGAAGATGGATGGGAAGGGGCGAACAAGGGGCGAATTCAAATTTTTGGTGTGTTTTTCTTTTCAAAGCGAATGACTGGCATTCATGTTTTTGCGCTCATAGGTTGTTCTTCCCGACAACTGAAGTATATCGTATGCCACATCCCGACCTTGTCAACTGTATACGCGCGTTGTGTACGCGAAGCATTTGCCAGGGGCGCTGTTTGGCTGGCACGTGTACCAATTGGTACCGATTCTTTCAATTTGTAACTTGAACCAAACTTGAACCAGACTACGCCTTCACCACTACTAAGCCTTCAATCAAGATAACAAAGCACCATCTTATTGCCCCATCCACTGAAACTCAGTTGCAATGAGTCGAAACAACACGCCAACTGTCAGCCCAAACCAGCCATACATAGCGACTACCCAAATAGATTCACCGTACGCATCCAATCTCCACACCAATTATACCCCTACGGAATCAGAAATTCTCGAAATCAAGCAGCTTTTGACCGAACCTCTCAAGCGTTTATCTAGCCTTGACGCTGAGATCGAAAGGGTGCAATCGATTCTCGACGAGCTACATCGCGAGCATCGTGCTCTGAGTGATGAGATCGAGGCTCATCGAGCACTGATCTCGCCTATTCGCCAACTCCCGCTCGACGTGCTCGAGGAGATCTTCGTCCATTGTCTCCCTAAAGGTCGCAACGCCGTCATGAGCGCTCAGGAAGCTCCGATTCTGCTGGGTCGCATCTGTAGCGCGTGGAGATCCATCGCACTATCAACCCCGCGGCTTTGGTCGAGCCTTCACATACCGACACCTACGCAGATAACCGAAACTGGGCAAGACCCTGCTCAACTAGATCCCACATTTATTGCCAAGGTGGAGAGGCGCTGCGAAGCGGCACGGGAATGGATCAGTCGTTCAGGAGAGAGCCCCATCTCCATCTCTGTCTGCACTCCAAGGCATTCCTACCCTTATGATTTGCAACCCTCGAACATGAACACTTTCGAAATTGCGATAACGCAGATACTCGCTTCCAGCCACCGATGGAAAAACGTAGATTTTAGGGCAACCGAAGACTCATTTACTCGTCTCCAACAGCTCACAGAGGATGATGTACCACTGCTAGAATCCCTGGTCATCGCCAGCGGGCCTCTGACACATGCATGGGATCCACTCGCATCAGATTTTGGTGGGCGCTGGACGGAATGCTCAGGTCTTCTGTCAGCTAGGAAGTTGTGGAAGCTTTCCTTATCGTATCTTAGAGAGGACCTCCTCTCATTGCCAGTGCGTTGGTCGCAGTTAACCCACCTAAATTTGGACCTCGATATCTTCGGAGGGACTTCGAGGGGTCTCAGATATAGCGATGTTATCAAAGTGTTGACAAGATGCCCACTGCTTGTGAGCTGTGGCTTGCGTTTGGGAGGCACGTCATTTGACGTCGTTCTACAACCCGATCACGAAGTGCCCCTAGCTGAATACATCCTTTCCCTTCCCCTTCTCGAGAACCTTCATCTCAATCTCAGCGGTAGGCGGGATGAGTGTCATTTGAAGCATCTTGATCTTCCGAGACTCTGTCATCTCGAAATTAAATTTCCAAAAACATCTAATATTAGTCGGCCCTCGTGGGTAGATTTCCTCTCGCGTAATGGTGGATCTGTGAAGCACTTGTCCATAGATATCCATTCATTGACTCGGGATGAACTTTTTGGTTTCCTCGAATCAGTCCCACTTCTCATCCACCTCCATATCAGCGACCACTCCAGTTCTTTGTCTGTCGTCGATGATGAAGTCATTGATCGCCTCACTCCTTCTGGCGAAAATTCTGATTGTCTGTGCCCAATGCTTGAAGAATTTGAATGCAATGGGAACCATTGCGCGAGCTTTTCCGAAGCGCAGTTGTTGTCTTTGGTTCAAAAGCGGAGTGAATCTGAAAAGGTTGGAGTGCTGAAACGAGTAGACGCCACTTTCGATCGCCGCGAGCCAAAGAACTTCGATGAATTCCTTGATTCGCTTACTGGGACTGGGCTGAAAGTTTCTCGGCGGAACTGGACTGGTGCCGTCATTCACCCCGAATCAAACAACACCAAGCTATCTACTGTTGTACATATCAAATATGCAGCAGACTCGTGGCCATTACGATTGGATTCTTTTTCTCCTTGGGATGGTCAGGATCTGGACAGGACTCCAGGTTCCACGGATCTTGATTCTGACTATTAGTTTTATTTACCCAAGATGACATGTACACTAACCCTGAGAAAAGAATGTCCGATCACTTTTTAAATGAAAAATGGGTTTTATCTTCAAACTCTTTAATCCTTTGAACAATATTTCATAGGCAGAGTGGACCTTTATGTTTACTCTGCACATCCTGCAAAAAAGATTGAACTAAGCAGCTGTCGTTGTGACACACATGGTGGGTGTAGGCCAGTCGATGCCGTGACCGTGGGATATAAACGCGTCGCGTCAAGCAACTTGCTGTCGATCTCGACTTCAACCAAAAACCGCACTCCCAAAACACATTGGGTATGGTCATATACCTCCTATGGCTCCAATTACAACCCCCACCAAACGTGCAAAGATTTGTACAATGTGGGCGGCGGGATACACCCACAACGAAATTCGCGACGCTTTGACTGGTCGCCACGATCTTTCTGACTGCCAAATCCTCCGGATCGTCAAGAGATACGCAGAAAAGGGGAATTACTACGATGTTGGACACTCAACTGGTCGTCCTCGGAAGCTCACGCCCCGTGATTTACGTGTAGCCTGCCGACACCTGTCAAATCAGACTGCCCACGATGCTTCTGAGCTGCAGCGCGAGTACTTCCCGGATGTTTGTGTGGATACAATGAAGCATGCACTTAGAGGAGAAGGTCTTGAACCTCATATTCGACGCACAGTTCCATTCATCTCTCACAAGAACCTACACGTCCGAAAGAACTGGGCTGAGGAACGACTGGAATGGACCATGGCTAATTGGATGACTGTAAACTTCTCAGACAAGTCCATATTCCACTTGTTTGGGTCAGATGGTATAGAGTGGTGCTGGAGGAGACCAGGAGAGCACTTGGATCCACAGTTCACGAAGAAGAAGGTCAAGCACGGTGGTGGGAAGGTTACGGTGTGGGGAATGATCACGGCACAAGGTGTTGGGCGGATCGTACGGATTGAAGGGAACCTCAACAAAGAGTTATATCGTGAAATCCTTGAGGACGATGTCCTAGGTACCTACCGTGAGCTTTCTATGGAGCCACGTCAATTCTACTTCCAGCAAGACAACGATCCAAAGCATACAGCGAAGATCGTACAGGCTTGGTTTCAAAAAAACAACATAGATCTCCTTCCATGGCCACCAAACAGTCCCGACATCAGTATCATCGAGAACCTTTGGGACCACCTCGAACGTCGAATACGAGCACGTAAGCCACTGCCGCGGTCGGAAGAAGATTTGTGGGTGGCTCTTCAGGAGGAGTGGTTCCGGATTGATGTCAGCTTTATCACGAAGTTATACCAATCTTTACCCCAACGAGTTCTTGCAGTTTACCAGGCTAATGGGGGGAACATGATGTACTAGATAGTTAGATACACAAGTTCAAATTTCTCTCGTTCTCCAGGTTTAATCTGGCATTTCGGTTTTTTCTGGTTTCCTATTTTGGGCCTTGCCACATTGATTGCTTCGCATAATTCGTATTTGCATTTCTGTATCGCAAAACTTTGGAGACATGTTATATACCACTTAACCTTTCTTATACTCTTGAGATCCAATTAATGTGTTGTGTGGTTTTCACGTTATAGGCCAGACTTCATCAAAAAAACGATTGGACATTCTTTTCTCAGGGTTAGTGTATCTGTGAGCCAATAGGTCAAAACTGAATTATAGAACGAAATGGAACTTCGCTTGTCTGGGAGTCGAACCCAATCGGACCCGAATGCTATGGGAAATATTTTCCTTGTCTGAGCGCGGTCTCTTGCGACATTCAGTACAACACGCAGTCGGGCCAAAAGTTAAGAAGTGTGTGTTAGGGATTCCGATATCACGACTCGGATCTATTGTCCCCTGAGAAAACCATATGTGAGTAATACACACACGTTGCCAATTAGCGAAGCTAGGGACAAGCTAGGGACTGATAAAAAGAAGGATTTTTTTTCTCTGACCTGAGCGCTAGGAGCCTTTGTCTGGGAGTCGAACCCAGCTCTCGCCCCATACACAAATATGAACCAACAGACTGCCAGTGCACACTGCAGGCACGTACTGTAGCTGTGTGTAGGGTACCAACGGCTTCGGCAGTGTTACATCAGGAAAACTACAAATTACTTATGGGGCTTAGGTAGCTTGAAATGACTTGAGAACTGACTTGAGTCACTTCGGCACTTCAATGTATAGCCACATTTTCGTTTGAAAATATAAGTGATTCAAGTTGAATTCAAGCCAAACATCAAGTCAGCCAAGTTCATAAGTTGTAAGTGCAAGAACACGTCAATCTGCTTGAATTAGTATAGTCGGATATTGCACAATTCACACAATCAAGGAAGTCATGCACAGCTCATTTGTATTTACCATACATAATTGTGTTCCACCCCCACCTAATAAAGATATGTAAGTGTATGAATAAGATTGTGTGACATGCCAATGCATGATGTCTTTGCGCCCTCAGGGCCTTAAATTTGGGACTTGTTGTAGCGTATGACGTCATACACGCCCAGCAAGTTACCGAAACGCTTCAATTACGAAGTTTGGTTTTATTTATCCGTGCAATATTTCTTCGCAGCAGTCATATTGATGCGCCAGCCGACCTCAAGCGCACGCCCCTCCCTTCGTGATACTACTCAGAGTTTGAACATTTCACCCCCGGCCCCTTCCAAACAAGGCAGATCGTCCAAAAAGCTGACATCGTGAGCCACGACAAAGGCGATCCATGTGGCTGAGAAACAAGCTGAGGTCTTCCTAAGTCCACAGCGCAAGCGTGCGGCTCGGAAGAGTGCTCTGAAGGCTTCCTTGAAGATAACCTCGTGAGTGTACTACACTATAGTGCCTGTTCATTATCTGATCCTCTCTTGTTGTCCAGTGACTTTTGCGCAAACAGCATCCTCGACTCTCAAATTGATTCCCAACAGTGGTACGACCTCATACAGGATGGGGTATCCCAAGCTATCCCATCCAACCCAGCCATTGAAGTTGAAGCTGAAGAAACCATCAAAACTGATGAAACCGATGATGTGTGCACCAACTGTGCCTACCTACGCGCTGAGCTCGAGCGCTCGCATGCGGCTCATCAGGAGACATGCAACGATCTACGCAATGAGCTTGAGAGCTCGCATGCAGCTCATCAGGCTGAGCTCGAGCGCTCGCATGCAGCTCATCAGGAGTCACGCAACGATGGCATCAAGCTTGCTCGAGACTATGACAGCCTGGTGGTGGAGGCGAAGTTCTTAAGGGAGTCTATGATTTTTGCTGGGGCCAAGATGACAGAGATGGCAGGGGGTATGTCTGGGACACTTAGCACACTCCTTCAGGTTAATACAGATTTCTAGTAACTAGCAGCTCAAATTCATCTTGCTTCCCATTCCATTTATGAGATGATCTTTCGATGTAACTAACCACAGTTATATTAAAATGCAATTTCATGAGAATGATGGTCTGCGAATTTACTAACATAGTATGCAGCGTAGTAATCTAAAGAGTTCGAAAAATTGATATGACGAGGAACAAACTCCTCTCCGTAAACAGGAATGAGATGAGCCCCACGGACGATGCTGTCAACATGAATGACCCCCATACTTTGTGTTCCATCTTCCTCCCAGTCACGCTCAACTATCCACATCCCTGTCTGCTTGCATGGTTCCTCGCCCACAAGTGAAAACCACTGGATGAGTGCGCATGGATAAAGAACGTGGTTGAACTTGAAGGAGAAGAACAGAACGGCGCGAGCCGCGTGAAGCCCGAGCATCCCTTTGACGTTGGGATCGTTTGTTGCGAAAAGGCAGTCGTGACGTGGCCCTTCACCTCGCCAGGAGGGTGTGGCTTGTATCTGTTCACGATGCATACCACCGACACCAGCTGGATCACTAGGTGCGAAGAATTCGGCCACAGCAGAGTGGAAGACCTTGATGCGGCCGTTGAACGTGGGAAGTAGGTTGAGTGGTTGTTCTGAGCCAGGAATGGGAGCATCGGGATGGAGTTGGTCGTAAAGGAAGGTTTGGATAAGATGTTTGAAAGTTGGTGATTGCGGAAGGCCGAGATGTTGCAATAGTTCATGAGCCTGACTGGGATAGCCATGGGCTAACACAGATAGATTATTCAGTAAGAAATACTAATGGAATGAAAAGAGCATACCCGGGGTGCGAGCAAGAAATACCTCTGCCATTACTCGCAGTCCAGCAACCATGTCATCCTCGTCACCATCTTCATCTTCGATAGCCTCCAACACCACGCCGAGTGCTGGAAGCGGGCCTGATAGCATCCCGCGAGCGATGAAGTCGACCTTGGAAGCAGCAAGTTTGTCAAGACGCTGATTGGTGAGGAGCATCTGTCTGAGCGCCTTGTAATGACTGGAGCACCGCCATGGTTCTTTGACGGCCTTGATGTGTTTGGATTCTGTGATCGACGAGCAGAGACCATTTGGAGATCCGAAGAGCTGAATAACTGTCTTGTAGTGAACGAGCGAGTGCTGGCGTGGCAGCGACAAGCCTTCTGGACGAACCCCTACCTTCTCAAAGATCTGGCGATGTTCATGGAATCGCGCTAGAGCTTCGTCGATGTCGTGCAGGGTGGCCTCTGTATGAACGGATCGGCGGATGAGATAACAAAAGTCCAGGAAGGCAGCGAGAGCCTGCACCATTTGTGGTGGAACATGCCCAACAATGGCTGGCAGGTAAACCTATGCACGAAAAGCTGTGTTAAACATGGGGTCACCTGAGACAAGATGAAACATACCTTCATCAGGGCTTTTGAATCATCGCCCGTCCATTGCTTGAAGCCATGCCCTTCAGGAAAACGTCGAAGGCCAGGAAATGAAGGAACGGCTGCAATCCTGCAAGAAATGTTAACAAGTATCAAATGTATTAAGAAAATTAACATACCGACGATCAATATCGGCCATTATTGCCGCCGCTCCTGACTTTCCATGGACGATGACCAGATATTCGCTGACCCATGTAACGAGGTGGTCTTTGAATGTTCCTTTGATGACCTGATGAAGGAGGTCCGATGTGAGGAGTTCGTGGATGTCGGCTCTGGGAAAGTCGGCAGTGAATGGCTAGCAGTAAACATTGGTTAAAGGTGGTTCGAAGTGAGGGTGTGTCGAGTACGCACCGTAACATCTCCGATATAGCCATAATCGGACCAAAGCGTCTTCGGGTTTAGGAGATCACACAAGGCGTCTCGATGTGCATTGGATCGCAGCCCCGCCTTTCCATCGAGATCGTGTGGTAAAGCAGTACATCTAAGTTGAAGACTTATCAGTTCGAAGTTGGTGCAATAAGTCATATTGTGAAACCCGCAGTTGCAAACCAACCCTGTGGGTGCCTTCGTGATGCAGATGAATCGTAAGGGGCGGTGGGAAGCCATAATCGGTAGGACAGATACACTTTCGAGGACTTAGAGGAAATTATCCTGCACAGCATGAGAACATAACACGTTTTTCATTGACGGACTGTACAGTAGTGGAGCCTGAAAAAAAAAAGAAGAGAGTAAAGGGAGGACCACTCGAATTTAAGTCACGGTCAAAGAAATAAACAAAGTCCACTCAGCGCTCAATGGTTCGGACCAAAAGGAAGGGTGCGCCGGCACCTATTGCAGTGAGTTCTGATTGGCAAACCTTGATCTTGACATTGATGATGTTCAGGCAGGTGATGCGCCCACGCCTGTCGTTCCACCAAAAAAAAAGATGGCTAAGGGTTGGGTTGAGGTAGAGGTGAATAAAATTAATTTACTTACCTTGCGAAACTGATTTATTGCTAGCCATTCGACGAATCAGTCATAGATCCTCGGCTACGCAATTCAGGGCATGAAGATCTTCCCCGTACTCGGCCAGGGAATGCAAACAAGCAGCCAGGAATGGTTGACGTCACTCCAAGTAGACCTTGGAAAAGTTCTGCTGAAGTTGGCAAAGAAAAGTCAGATCGTGCTGAACAATCTAAAAAGGATGACGAGGAGCTTCGGAATAAGCGAAAGGCTGTTGCAGGGCTCGAAGATGCGATGGTTATCGAAGAAGTTGCTAGGCAGGCAAGCGCCGCAAAACCAGTGTGTGGGCCTGTTATTGCCAAGGTACCGCGCCCAGTTGCTCACACTCAGGATGACAAAGACGGTGCGAGTACTTCCAGAGGCACTTTAACTACAGCTCACTCACGTTGGCAGCGCCAGGTTCGGAATAGTGTTTGAAAGTCCGGTTCGGTCCGGTCTTTTGATGCCCAGGGGCGTTAACCGTAACCGTAACCGGTCTGCCTTTTCCCCAGAAGTCAAAAGACCAGACCGGACCGCAAAAAGACCGCAGACCGTGGTTTTTTGCGGTCTATAGACCGGTTTCGGTCTGCATCGGTTTTAACTGGTTTATGACCGGTCTTTAGGCCAATATTTTAAAATTATGAATCGGTAAATTTATTAACATCTCTAATAGCTTCAAAACGAGCCCAAGAACGTTAAATTCCATTAGGAATTGGTGCTGCTATAAAATAAGTCTGGTACATTTATTATTCCCAAAAGTAATTTACATTTTAATTCGTATCTCTCTCGTTTTTTTACCAAATCGTACGTTCTTGGGTGCGTTTTAAAGGGTATTTAAGGGGCTACAAAAGACCGGTCCAAACCGGTCTTGACCGGTTCACGTTAACCGGTTTTTTTGCGGTCTTTACATTTCAAAAATAAAAGACCGTAACCGCAGGTCCGGTCTTTTGCGGTCTTGGTCCGGTCTGGTTACGGTCTTTTTCCAGTCACGAGACCGGACTTCCAAACACTAGTTCGGAAGATGGTGTCGGTTCTGATGAAGACATTGAAATTAATGACGATTTGCGAGAGGTTTGTCGCTATTTATTCTAAGTTGATGACACTTACTTGTTTCGTCGACATGGAGGGCCCAATCTTCACTGTGGTACGTCTTTATCTTCTGTTTGCAGACATCATGTATTGATGAACTAATTGAATGAGTATTATCTAGGCAATCCAGCATTGGTACAAGTGGCGTTCCAACATTGCCCGTGCCGTTCTTTTTTCCATCAACGCGCATATGGAGAACTTTTCGGAGGATGTCGATGCCCGTGCCGCCCACGCCAAATGGATGAAAGGGGATACTGACACAATCCCATTTACCTGGAAACATCACCCAATGTCTGCCGAAGAGCCACAGGTGAGTCGTTTATTACCCAGTTCATGCATATGTGACTAATTTGTGACGTGGCAAACAAGGTATTTAAGGGCCTCTTTATGTCGTACTTCGTGCTGGTGGGACTCGCCACGCACTTCAACATGACTTCAAGTGTCTGTGCAGAGTTGGAGGTGGATAGCGAGCCATGTGGTGCATTAGTGATTGCAACGGTTGGGGTACGTCACGTCACCTCTTCCCTTCCCCTCTACGTGATCTCATTTTCGTGCAGGCTGAGCACGCGTTCAAGTTCTGGGGAACGGGGGTTTCTACTGCCGGCGTCCTGGATCGTAAGGAAGAGGCAAAGTTCTCGGAAGACAACTGGGGCGTCAGCACCGTGGAGTACATCAAGTCTATCAACAAATTGACACCAAGACAATGGAAGAAGATCAAAGATGCCGCAATCGAGCTCATGGAGAAACCGAAGCTATCTGTTTCGCTCACTCAAGGTGCCAATGCTTCTCCCCTCAATGCGCGAGGATCTTTGTTTGAAGAGGACAGCGAGGGTGAAGAGTGAGATGAGGGGTTTTCTACGTGTTCCTTGAGCCAGTACATTGTAGATAGACATTTGTATTATTCAATATACTCTTTTACCCCCTACTTTTAACCATCCTGTGTGCAATTCGGAACAGTTTGAGACTACCACTTGGTCACTTGGTCACTTTTGAGATCAACCCGCAAGATGGCTTACCACTTGAGTCATCACTTGAGCTAACTTACCTAAGACCAAGTCACTTTGTACACATATGTTAGTCACATTGTGCCTTACCTAATGGAGTAGCCGGATGTGACAAAACACCATACTACATGGGCCCAGCCGGACGGCCCGAATCTTATGATGTGCCTTTAGTGATGGTGCGGCCGTGATCCTTACAGGGACTCACTAAGTAGCATGCGCTGGCTGTCCTTTTAACCGACGGCGTAGTGTCTCACCGGCGGAGATGTCCTGATGCCCGGCGGGGAGAGTTGCGGTGTACCCTGTCCTCTGGCGGCACAAGTTGCGGCGTACCATGTAAACATAGATGGTGATCATACATAGTGATAGGGCTGCAGTCATCAGTTAAATGTCATGAATGTGAGCCATTACAACTGAAAAATATACTGAATGATTAATCACAATGAGAGTCCTACTGCAAGGTGATGAGATACTGTAATTTCTTTTGAAACACAAGCAGTCTTCATTAACTATTGTCCATATCATGTCCCCCCAGATATACAGCTGAATATAACACACCAGCAGAACACCTTCCAATAAAAACACATTGCCTTTTCATAAGAGACACTTTTTGAATAGCTGTGTTGGAGGTCTAGAGCAATATATATATATATAATAAAGCTCTGTTGCAGCAGTGCAGTTTTTTCAAAGAGGCACCGCAAGACCAATGTATTTTTTTCACCGCCGGCACAATGTATTATTTTTTAAATTGGCACTGCCAGAGAAATGTATTTTTTTTAGGTGGCACTGCCAGCACAATGTATTACTTTTTAAAATGGCACTGCCAGAGCAATGTATTCTTTTTAAAATGGCACCGCTGGCACAATGTATTATTTTTTAAAATGGCACCGCCAGCACAATGTATTACTTTTTAAAATGGCACCGCCGGAGCAATGCATTTTTTTAAAAATGGCACCGCTGGCACAATGTATTATTTTTTAAAATGGCACCGCCGGGGCAATGTATTACTTTTCGAAATGGCACCGCCGGAGCAATGTATTTTTTTTTTTTCAAAAATGACACCGCCGGGGCAATTGTTTTTTTTATTAAAATGGCACCGAGGCAATGTATTCCTCTTTAAAACACCACCACTGGAGCAATATGCTCTGCCTTTGAAATTGCTCTGGCAGAGTAGTACTTGCATATTTTTTAGAAATACAAAAATCATGTTTAGGGCAAAGAACACTAGAATTAAACAGACAGTTGATACATATGATTACTAGTAAATGGGTGGTACTGCTGAGGTACTCTTGTTTACTTCTGCATATGTTTTCTATGGGGGGACTGAGGGGTGGATTGCAGAGGGTAGATTGCAGATGGTAAGATTGCAGCTGCGGAGGGTAGATTGCAGCTGTGGATGGTATATTGCAGGAGGTAGATTGCGGAGGGTAGGTTGCAGCTGCAGAGGGTATATTGCGGGGGGTATATTGCGGTATATTGTGGCTGTGGAGGGTATATTGCAGGAGGCATATTGCGGGAGGTATATTGTGGGAGGTATATTGCGGGAGGTATATTGCGGGAGGTATATTGCAGGAGGTATATTGTGGGAGGTATATTGCAGAGGATATATTGCGGCTGTGGATGGTATATTGCAGGAGGTATATTGTGGGAGGTATATTGTGGGAGGTATATTGCGGGAGGTATATTGCGGGAGGTATATTGCAGGAGGTATATTGCAGGAGGTATATTGCAGAGGATATATTGCGGCTGCGGATGGTATATTGCGGGAGGTATATTGCGGGAGGTATATTGTGGGAGGTATATTGTGGGAGGTATATTGCAGGAGGTATATTGTGGGAGGTACATTGCAGAGGGTATATTGCAGCTGCAGAGGGTATATTGCAGGGGGTATATTGCAGAGGGTAGATTGTGGCTGCGGAGGGTATATTGCGGGAGGTAAATTGCGGAGGGTATATTGCAGCTGCAGTGGATAGACTACAGAGGGGAGACTCATCTGGATCCTTCAAAGGGGTTTGGAAGAAAGTATATAAACCTCTGTACATGCTCACAAGTGTGTTTTGAAGAGTCACTTATGTGAAATACCTTTTCACAGATTGTTTCAGCTGCACAGAATGTAAAAATGACTGTCAACCCACATAAAAACTACCTCTGGAAAGCTGGAGAAAGCAGGATTTGAACAAGCTAGACCCAACAGTAGGTTACCTAGGAAAAGAAAAAGTCTTGATGGTGTTCATTGTAAATTTTAACTTTTCACAAGCTGTTTCAGCTCTGCAGAACATAATAATGGCTGTTACCTCATGTAAAAGCCACCTCTGTAAAGCTGGAGAAGTCAGGATTCGAACAAGCTAGGCCCGACGATAAGTTGTTTGGGGAAAAGAAAAGCCTTGATGGTTTCTATCATAAAAAGTACCATTTCACAGGTTGTTTCAGCCCCGCAACATGTAATAATGACTTTTGACTCATGTAAAAACCACCATTGAAAAGCTTGAAAGGGGACAATTCTAACGAGCTAGGCCCGACGATAAGTTGTTCGGGAAAAAAAAAAGTCTTGATGATTTTTGTTGTAATGCCACAATGCAGTCAAGGTTTGATAGAGATTATCAACATAAAACCCTCTTTTCTGTGTTTGTCAACAAAAACAAAACATCTCTTGAAGATTTTAACATGGTAATTACCATGGCATTGAGGTCTATCACCTGGCTGGTTTTCAGGTTACATGGATTGAAATTGGGTGAGTGCGTCGTTGTTTGTCGGGATGCAGGGTCTGTTTGCATGTGGTGGAGGGCCCATGCACCAAGCGCATCACCTCAATTTGGAAATGTCTCAGGCACAAACTGAAACTTTGATGGTCCCTGCCTGGCAACAAGCAAAATAGCCAGACCATCCTTGTTGCCGCAACACCCTTTTCTGGTCCTGCATAATGCATACTTGGTTATCTCTGGCTATCAGAGCCAGAGCTCATATTGAGAGAAAGTGTGCACAGCTAAAGTTTGAAGAACCATTAGATTGGTGGTGTTTTTGGGGCAATGTGTAGTGCTTTGCTTGGCAGGGTGTTCTATGTGGTGGGTAGTCCAACGGAGTATCATAAAGAAATGACACCGCCGGCAGAGCAATATTTGCAGAGAGATTGTGTACTCAAATATGTTTTCGGTGTAAACATGTCAAAAATATTTTAACAGGCTATTATAAATTTTCAATATAAAAGCGGAGGCGATTTGCGGTGGCTGGCCCGGTGGCGTATCATAAAAAAAATGACACCACCGGCAAAGCAATATTTGTGGTGGCATGGTGTACTTAAATATGTTTTTGGTATAAACATGTCAGAATATTCTAACAGGCTATTATAAATTTTCAATATAAAAGCGGAGGCGATTTGTGGTGGCTGGCCCGGCGGTGTATCATAAAAAATGACACTGCCGGCGAAGCAATATTTGCGGTGGCATGGTGTACTTAAATATGTTTTTAGTATAAACATGTCAAAAATATTCTAACAGGCTATTATAAATTTTCAATATAAAAGCGGAGGCGATTTGCGGTGGCTGGCCCGGCGGCGTATCATAAAAAATGACACCACAGGCGGGGCAATATTTGTAGAGGTATTGTGTACTTGAATATGGTTTTAGTATAAACATGTCAAAAGTATTCTAACACGCTATTATAAATTTTCAATATAAAAGCGGAGGCGATTTGCGGTGGCTGGCCCGGCGGCGTATCATTAAAAAAAAATGACACCGCTGGCGAAGCAATATTTGCAGTGGCATGGTGTACTTAAATATGTTTTTGGTATAAACATGTCAGAATATTCTAACAGGCTATTATAAATTTTCAATATAAAAGCGGAGGCGATTTGCGGTGGCTGGCCCGGCGGCGTATCATTAAAAATGACACCGCCGGCGAAGCAATATTTGCAGTGGCATGGTGTACTTAAATATGTTTTTGGTATAAACATGTCAGAATATTCTAACAGGCTATTATAAATTTTCAATATAAAAGCGGAGGCGATTTGCGGTGGCTGGCCCGGCGGCGTATCATAAAAATGACACCGCCGGCGAAGCAATATTTGCGGTGGCATGGTGTACTTAAATATGTTTTTGGTATAAACATGTCAGAATATTCTAACAGGCTATTATAAATTTTCAATATAAAAGCGGAGGCGATTTGCGGTGGCTGGCCCGGCGGCGTATCATAAAAATGACACCGCCGGCGAAGCAATATTTGCGGTGGCATGGTGTACTTAAATATGTTTTTGGTATAAACATGTCAGAATATTCTAACAGGCTATTATAAATTTTCAATATAAAAGCGGAGGCGATTTGCAGTGGCTGGCCTGGCGGCGTATCATAAAAAATGACACCACCAGCGGGGCAATATTTGTAGAGGTATCGTGTACTTGAATATGGTTTTAGTATAAACATGTCAAAAGTATTCTAACACACTATTATAAATTTTCAATATAAATGCGGAGGCGATTTGCGGTGGCTGGCCCAGCAGCATATCATAAGAAATGACACCGCCGGTGGGGCAATATTTGTGGAGGTATTGTGTACTTAGATATGTTTTCAGTGTAAATGTGTCAAACTTCATTATAATTTTTTTTCTATGTTTGCGGAGTCAATGTGCAGTGGTTGGTCCGGCGGTGTACCATAAAAAAATTATATAACCAGTGGAGCAATATTTGCGGAGGAATCGCCTTGCTGGTGTACTCAAATACTTTTGCAGATTAAATGTGTGAAGCTTCTTCCAACAGATCATTCCAATATGTGTCATTTTTGTGGAGGCAATGTGTGGTGCTTAGTCCAGTGGAGTGTTTCAGAAGCAATGTGCAGTGCTTAGTCTGGCAGAGTGATTCCACTCAAATTGTAGCAAACAGCATACATAGGTTGATAATATTATGCATGATTGATATAAGCCAGACTTGTAATTCTAAGTATTCAACTGGATGATGGCCGCCGGTGTGTCACCAACACCCCGGCGGAGGGCAGCCCTGCACTGGGTTATGACATTCAAGGTACACCCAGCCGCTCCAGTGGTATGGGACATTGTTGCTGACGGCCCACACATAGTTACTGGTGGATTGTTCAGGGTCTGGCCGCCCCTTTGACAATGGGGTCCGGTAATCAAACCGGCTGTCCGGCTAGCCCCTTACCATTTGATGGATTGTCAGGGCAGGGTGGCCCATTACTAATGAGCCAAGGTGACTAACTTAACTGCTTTGTAAGGCAGGGACCTACATAGCCAAGTGACTGTCACTCGGCCACTTGAGTTCACTTTCGCCACTTCTGCACTTGTCAAAGTTACCTAAGTGGCCTAAGCCGATGTGTAGTTTTCCTGATGTACATCCTGAATTGATGTACCTTTAGCAACCACTGGGCTCATGTTACACGTTACAAGCCCAAAATAAGCAACCGTTCGTCCTGGATACGTGGCGTACGCCTGAGCACTCTGCGAGTGCTCAGGCTGAACGACCATGGCGTTACCAACCAAGCCTCTCTTACATGTTACATCGAGGAAATAGCCAACACAACGGGGCCTGCGTTACGCGTTACGGTTGGTACCATACACACAGCTACAGTACTAACAAACTTGCTAACAAAGGCATATTCATATGTAAGTCCAGCCCATTCTTGACGAAAATGTAAAGTGGACGTTGGGGTGTTGAAGTACGGGAGAGCATCCGAACGGAATAACGAATCCTCCTAACAGAATCATGGCAGGGCGATGGGTCTGATGAAGCTCAGAGACTGCACAATTTTTTCAAAACAACTCACTATGATTTCCTACCCCCTTGTCCAGGAGTCGAACCTAGCTCTCGCCCCATAGAAGGAATATTTCTTCTACATATGCAGGCGCGTATTCACCACTGTACTAACAAAGGCATATTCATCAATCAGTTGACAACTTGTAAGTCAAACGCGTTGTGGACGATGAAACAAAGTAGACGTTGGCGTTATAGCGAGACCGGGCATCAAAAAAAAGAGCGATTTTGCAACCCTGGGATTCGTTACATATATGCCGCCAAGTGAGGACTCCTCAGCTAGGAATTAAAAAACTGCTCCAAGTCCTAGAGTGATCGTTTGGGATTCGAACCCAGTTTTCCTCTCCCCACGATGAAGATCGTCTCAGTTCGGCGCCGGCAAAAGTGTGCTTCAAGTTACTAATGAACTATCGAAGATATAGTACTTCATACAGTCAAGCGCGTTGTCGACGAAAATTCTGTAAACGAAATAGGTATTAGGAAAAATAAGATGGCCTAGATATTTGAAGTACTAGTCTTCGTCTGAGCGTGGAGGCAGATTTATTTCGTTCTTCGTTAATCGCTTTGAAGGGAAGTGTTTACCATACAGAAATTCATACCATCCACCTCAAACGTGCGCGTGCCGCTGGTTAACTCCACGATGTCTTCAAATATCGAGCTTTGAGAAAAAAGAGAGTTATGTTACCGTTGTGTACATAAATCTCTCGGGAGTCGAACCCGGCTCTCGCCCTCTCTATTTATACATTCACTAAGGTAGGCGTGGCATCCCGGTTTACCAATAGAGATATATTTAATGGAGTCAATCGTAGCATTTCGATGAGGAAGTTGAGATCCCTACAAAGGGAGGGAGGAAAGCGGGAACCCCCGAAAGGTAGGGAAGCATGATCTGCAATTTTCAGAGCTTGCAGCATACATACGATGGGCGAAAAAAACTCCCGGCTGTTTATCTGGCATTTGCTCTTGGGGATTCGAACCCCAGTTCTCATAGTACCCCCATGTTCCGCTCAACGGTGAGCACGTAAGTACTTTCCAGTGTACTGATTAGAGATGTTGTAAAACCTACCGAATATTCTTGAAGTATCGTTGAAACCAAGCTGTTGACAAAGCGCAGGAGTTGTTGCTATCACCACCGTGTGATCTCTCCACCTTGAACAGTGCAACAGAGGAAATCCATTACTGTACCCCTGCTGTTGCTAGAGAGTCGATCTTATCTTATCTTTAGGTGGTCTGTGCGCAAAAAGGTTCAAGAAATGATACAGATGCATGTTACAAGCAACGCAGGAGGGTATACGCGAGGTATACCAATATAATACACACAGCATTTTCATCAGAGCAACGGTTCATCATACAGCCCAAGTTCGTCTTCTTCGGTATCATCCCTGTAACCTAAATCAAGGTCATTACACGAAAACGCGCATATACTCGCGTGCTTACCCTCGTTTCCCTCTCCCTCTCACGCTGAACCCCCACTCCCCTTCGTGGACGTCGCACCCTTCTCTTTCGCCCCCAACGGCGCCTTCCCACCATAATCAACGCTACTGTACTCTTCCGTCTTCACCCCAGCACGACTATACCCAGACGGCGGCTCGTGCGGTTTCTGGACGTTATCCGAGTCTGGATCGACTCGATGGACGGTATGATCAGACGGAGGCGTGGCGTCTACTTCTTTGCTGTAAGTGTCGGACGTGTGCTTGACTTGTCCTTGGCTGGCCCATAGGGCGGATGAGCTGCGCAGTGAGCGACGAAGGAGAAGATGCTGAGGCTGAGGACGGCGGAGGGCGGCGACGCGGATGGACGAGAGCATTGCGAGGGTTTTTGGTGGGTGGTACTTTGCGTTATGGGATTGCAAAGTCTCAATGCGGGGCTTTTGTAATTGGCTTCGCGAAGCTTATGTGACATCATCATGTGCCTTTGCGCACGGCCCGTTCACACGTTCTTCCTTCCTCAGCGTCATATTCAACACCCAACCGCACATCAGTGTATGGTAAGCGGGACGGCCTTACCCTCGCTCGCATGTTTCTCACTGAGACTCTCAATCTATCTAGGATTTCGTATCTTGGAGCGGCTTCTCATTCCCATATTCTAACTTAACCTTGTTACTTATACTCTTCAGCCCAGAACATCTGACAGTCTGAGTTCTGAGCCATTGAATATACGTTCATCTGATCAAACGAAGGGCCAACCTGAAGCGCTGGGCGTTAGGAATGGTGGACATTGGATAGCGCAAAGCCACGAATATTATACCTCCGCCAGCACCAAACGGGCCCGGGTGCGTCTCAACTTTTACGTCGCAAACAACGCGCTTGACCTGCTAATTAATAGATCTTCGTTGGTAAACCGATAACACACGGTTACTTGAGACGATCCCCGTCTCAATCTCGGGGAGAGAACTGGGTTCGAATCCCAGGCGAAGAAATTGATGGCTGCCGTCTTTTTTAGCCTCTGCTTACTATTCTCAGGCTCTAGCTATAAGACCTTTCAGGCCAAACCCTTTTTTGTCCATACAACCCAAAGAGCTCTTTGAAGCCACGAAGCCCATTTCAGAGCTGGTATTTGTACAAATGCATGGATTGCGAGAGCCAGCTTCGCCTCTTCAATGCCAAGTCACCCTTTCATTGTTCAACGGTCCTGGGATCGTGGCACAAGCGCAGAATATTAGCTCCAGGTCCCAAGGTTAACAAAGGCTCGTCTCGTTTTATATTTCTTCCAATAAACAACGCGATTGACTTACTAGAAAGAAGATCTTTGTTAGTACACCGGTATTACACTCCCATACTGTACGTATGTGTGTAAATTGAGACGATCCTCGTCTCGGGGTGACGTCTGGGTTCGAATCCCAGACAAAGAATGTATCATGGGGTTGCTTTTGCTTTAGTCCTACCAACTACTCTCACAGAGGTGGATCCGACTGCGAGTTCAAAGGGATTTCCAAAACTCACTCGCTTTTTTTTCAAACACCTTTCTCCAGTTCTACAATCGGGGCGCAAGGCCAAGATATTCTCCTCCATTGGTAAGAGGTCCCAAGGCTAACAAAGGCCCCAAGGTGCAATTCGGTTTTTAACTTTCCTAATAAACACGAACGACTTACTACTAATAAATAGATCTTTGTTAGTACACCGGTACTACACTCTCATACTGAATGTACGTGAATTTCTTGAGACGAGAACTGGGTTCGAATCCCAGACAAAGAATATAAGTACGTAAATTAGCGCCTGATCTTTTGGTTTCTACTTACATTTCCCTGGTTATGTGAAAACGAACCAACTTACATGAAACTCTTTTTGGTTTGTCTGTACATCAAGGTTTGTCCTCGCTATATGTGCGCTGATCAACCTTTCGCACGGCCCATCGCACGTTATTCCTTGGTCAGCGACCCCGGTAACACCCAAACGCGCATCCGTGTTCCATATGAAATTGATCGACTATCATCAACTTCATATCGGAGTCTGACATCGGGAGACTACATCCGTGTATGGTAGGGTACTTAAAACTCATTCGCCTGTTTCTCGCCAAGGCTCTCAAATTATACAGGCTTTCGTATCGAACGGATTGCCATTTGGTTCGTATTCCTAAATGCCGCTTTCAAGTTAACCTTGTTACTTACATTCTCCAGTCCCAAAAATCTGATAATCTGGTTTATGTGTCGTTGAATGTACGTCCATCTGATCAAACGAAGGGCCAACTTGAAGCGCTGCCAGGCGTCTGGGATGGTGGGCACTGGGTAGCGCAAAGCTACGAATATTATGCCTCCTCCACTGGCACTATATGCTCCCAGGTGCGTCTCGATTGTTATGTATTTAACAACGCGCTTGACTGGCTAATAAATATATCTTCGTTAGTAAACCGGTAACACACGATAACTTGAGACGATCCGCGTCTCGGTCTCGGGGAGAAAACTGGGTTCGAATCCCAGACGAAGAAATGAATTTTATGTGTGTGGCCATTTCTTTTAGCCTCTGCTTACTATTCTCTTGCTAAAACCTTTCAGGCCGAACGCTTTTTCAACCATACAACCCAAAGAGCTTTGTGGTATAACTAGAAGAAACCCACTTCAGAGCTGACATTTGTAAATTGCGAGAGCCACTTCAAGGCCGAGTCAAAAGGGATATATCTTCAATACTTCGTCAAGCTATGAATTTTTTTCAAGCACTTCCTTCCGTTGTTAAAAGGTCCTGGGATCGTGGCACAAGGGCAGGATATTATCCTTCACTGGCGATAGGTCCTAACTTCAACAAAGGCTCGTCTCAATTTCTAATTTTCCTAATAGACAACGCGATTGACTTACCAACAAATAGATCTTTGTTAGTCCATCGGTACTACACACCCATACTGTATGTATGTATGTGGATTGAGACGATCCTCGTTTCGTGGTGAGTACTGGGTTCGAATCCCAGACAAAGAATAGATTTACAATGGAAGTGTGTTTTTCTTTTAGTCTCTACTAACCATTATCTCTGTGTATTCAAGAACATTCCAGGAAGCGTCGTTGAAGTGAAATCCGCCCCGTATATGCAATCGAACGAGAAGAGCATTGTGATACAAGCCACGATGCCCCCTTCGAAGACATATTTTGGAATACAGAGAGGTGGGTCCGACTCCGAGTTCAAAGGGATACATCCTCAAAACTCACTCTGATTATGCTTTTTTTTCAAACACCTCCGTGGGAGCAAGGCCAGGATATTATCCTCCACTGGACCACACTAGGTCCCAACGCTAACAAGGGCACCCAGTTGCATCTCGGCTTTTTATTTTCCTAATAAACATCACGATTGACTTTAGATCTTTTTTAGTGCACCTGTGCTACTGTATACTCACATTTCTCGGGACGAGAACTAGGTTTAAATCTTAGACAAGAAATATCGCTTTGATCGCTTTTGTTTTGGTTTCTACTTACTATAATTCAAACTGAACCGGCGTGTTACCCTGAAACCAACAAAATCGCGTTCTCAAAATGACCCCCAATTCCTTACTACGCACCCCCTTAATCTCAGCCTCCATTCATCCTTTCCTATTCCAAAAAAAACGCTGATCGCAACCTTGTGCAGCCGCAAAGATCCTCGAGACAACACACCATCCAGTCGTTCCCATTCTTCCCGATTGGAAAGTAGGGGGTGAGCATCCACATTAGTCTCAATGTTCAAATTTCGAAAGCATTAGTGAGAGGAAAGAGGTCGAGCTCCCCACAAGTCTCGTTTAACCATAGTGATATAGTGACTTGATGTAGTGCTTAAGGCCTATGCGTCACGAAGTACTTGACGATTTCTATGACAATTGAATGAATCATCCAGTCAAATTCGTAATCGTACAGAATCAAAGTGTGTACGGTCGACTATTTTCGCTATTTTAGCGCGATTTTGAACAGAAACAAGTCACTTACTGTTTGTCGAAATATCAAACTCAACAGGTGTATTTTCCCGCAACCAAGTAAATTGCGCTCGAGTAGCCTCCTCAAACTGCTGTCTCTGCGCAATTTCTGGCAGTCGCATACCGATTTGAAAAATAAGAACCACGACCCTCCGCAGACGCGAAAAGTTCCGAAACAACACATGGTCCAGCCGTCCCCATGGCTGCTCTTGAGGGGATGAAAGGTCCGTAGGCACGTCCATTTCGATGTCTAGAACCTCTAAAACATTGTTGCGAGGGAACAGGTCAAGTTCGTTGCACAAACTCTGCAGATGGTGTTCGTTGAACCACATCATATTGAACACCACCTTCAAGGTCGTCAGCGTCGAAAAGGCGCTGACGGTGATCCACCCCGCCAAGCCGCGACACCCCTCCGGTGTGTTTGCCTTGTAGACGAATCTCTCCATTTCGCCTGCCTCTTTGACTATATCCTCAATGACTTTCACGTCTTGTACATAATTGCAGTAGACGGCCAACATCTTGAGCCGGTCAAATTTAATGGTGGGGTTGCCATCGCTGCCGCGAAAGTGAATGAGTGCTGATGCATACCGATGGGAATCAACACCTTGAACTATGAATGAGTGCAGCTGGGGAATCGGATGTGATGGAACTTCGAGGAAACCAACGGTTCCGTCCACACTTTTGTAGTCTGCCATCTCCTCGATAGTCAGAATTGAAAGATTGATGCAAGATCGAAATGTTGCGAAAGGAAGCATGAACCGAGAAATGTTCAACTCGGTCAAAGTAGGAGAATAGATGAGTTCAAGAATTGGTTTTCGTAGGGAGGGGTGGAGAGCATTCCAAGATGCATAAGAAATGTACGATGTGGTTTCATCAACCCCCACAATCTGCAAGCTTTGCAGGAATTGCACTTGTGAAAGAGTCAGGATATTATCGGCATAAGCGTTCGGCCCGTTTGGATCCCAATTGTCAAGGGACCGGTTGAGGTGCAGCTTGAGCTCCCGAATGTAGAGTGCGATGTCTGGATTGTAACGAAGAAGCCGACTAAGGTTCTTCAACGACGAGGGACCTCGCGGACTAAGATCGATAGATTGGAAAAGACGTTTGCGACAAAGTGGAAGGAGTGCGTGACAAGTTTCGGAGACGGCTGTTAGCGCATCGATGTCGTTCTCCAGATCGTCGATTATGTGTTCAATGATTTCTATTGGAAAGACCGAGAGCTTGGAAGGATACTCCATGGAACGTATCGAGCTGGTTTTGCAAGTGACACCGAGGCCGTTTGAATCAAGTTTGAAGATGTGGAAGTGTGGAAGGGACAGCGCTGCACTTGCTGCTCTTTCGACTCTCAATCATCTCTTTTTACACTCCGCCATCACTCCGCAATCGGATTGCCGGCCATCTACGAATGGGAGAGGGCTCAGTTCCTTCACAGTGTTCACGTTTTATCTGCAGTGGCAACTCACGTTGCCGTTCACCCAGCTTCCCGTCATGTACACCTACCTTGGATGACCACTAGCACCACAACTACAAGGGTGCGGTCAGTCGCTTGCACACCGATTTGAATTTTTGTGGACCAGTCTTTCGCCGAATAATGACGAGCCTGAGATCTGACAGTGAAACGTGCGAAGCCAGGGCGAATGACAGCTGGAGGATTGCGTGATTGTGAGTGTTACTTTTCTATTCACCTCCGAGTCTTCGCTTTCATATCGCTGTCGGAGAATACCTGCAGTCATGACGCCCGTCGTGTAGCACCCCCAGCTAGTCGGTGAATAGGTGACTTGGGGCCGTAACTCACTGGAAAGGCTCAGCGCAACTTGCAAGTCAGTCCTTTCTCAACCCTTCAAGGAGGCTCTACAATTCACCTTTGATGATCTCACATTAAAGTCATGCCTGCGATTGGCGGACTTCAATTGACGCTAACAAATCTGCACATGCAGCGAGAGGTGGTGGGGAAGAAGGTGGGATTCCGTGACAATGGGGATTGGCTCCGAATGATTGGGGGGCACTGTGAAGAAATGTGTTCGCTTGCAGTTATCGTTTTGCGGGATTGTACTTGACGAGGACGAGGACGGGTAATAGTATGCCTTGTCGGTCTTGTTGCACTCTTAAAAGCCCACCAGGACAGTATTTCTATTACCTTTCTCGGTCAACACCAATCTACACGCAGTAGATTGAACCTGGTCTATTATCCCATCCATGATGGTAAGCCCCGTCTTTCCTCCTCTCTCCCCTCGACATTCACGCATGACCACCGCCAGGCACTCTTTCCCTTCCCCCAACGGCGCAGAGGTTAGAGGGGACCACAACAAATTCCTCCCATTTGGCAAGCTCGGAGAATTTATCTGTACAAGCTTCCTCCGAATCGGGATATACATTACACTCGGATGGGTGGTGACTTTCGCGAACCTGTTTTCGGTCTTGAAACTTCTGAGTCCGCCTGCATCCTTCCGTCTTTTCTCTCAGTGACTCTGGAATTCTTAGGCACTCACGCGTAGTCTCAATAACATGGTATAATTCAGTATAAAGGATCATGAAATGGACGACGCAGAAGGCAACAATGCAATTGAGTGGTGACGCTGATGCCTACAGGCTACAGAACGACGAGTTTAACTCCGAAGTTGCCATTGTAGGCGCATTTCTGTGGCGCGGTTGTGCGCCAACCATCACCATGTTGATAGCTTATTGTTACTTCCCACCAGGGAACAAATGAGATTCTCTGCTCCCCTATGATTCCAGTTCTATGTATGTGTCGGGAGTTTTTAGTTTTCCCAATTCTCACTGGATGGGGAGCTTGCTTGAAGAAGGTTCACCTCTTCTCAAATTATCTCGCCGATTAATCTTTGTTCTGGGAAACTGAATGTAATTTTGCCAGAATCTAGACTGTTGGGGATCGCACACCCAGTACAAGGTGAATGAATGCACAGCGCCTATTTTACAAATCAAAGGAAACTACAAAACATAAATCGCCCACAGACGGCAACTTGATCTTTGTGTGCACAGAGGCCGCTGACGTGTGTGATAATATATTGAGCACACAATCCAAGAAAAGATCAAGGCATCGAAACTTGTGGTAATGTTGTTTTAAAAAAGGATGTGGTTGTTATTACATGTGAGTCATCTGTCCTAAAAAGTGCATGGTAACTAAACTAATAAAATGCGACCGTCCAGACAAACAGGCTTCTATACAATTAAAGCCTGTGCGATAAGATAACTATCATCACTTCAATATAAGGATGGTTCTGAAAGTGCAAAATCAGAGTTGACCCCGATCATCCTGATAGACGTACCCGTTGGATAATCGGCAGGTCGTTTCCCTCTTTGATTGGAAACCATCTGCATCTGCGAGCCGACTCGCGGTTGTAGGATCCGGTTTCGTCACCATCCTCTCCACTGCGATTGGATCTTTAGATCCATCCACCTGAAACCACCAATCATCGTCTGAAAACTTCTTGATCCCACCCTGTATCTGAGAGATGGACTCGCCAAAATCAATGATCACTGCACGCTTCGGACCAACCAGGATATTTCCGCGATTGATGTCTCTATGAACAACGCCTAGCTCGTTCAGTTTGACCGCAGCCGCGATGAGAGTGCTGACATGCCGTGGCGCGATGGTCCTGATATCTCCTAGACCAGAAACACTTGTAACGTCTGGAATATATTCGAGAAGAATGACGCGAGCAATAATAGCTCGAGTTTCATCGAGGATTAGATCGCCAGAGTCATAGAATATAGGCACGGTGGAGCCAGAAAGGGAAGAGCCCGCCAGAATGTGGTATGCGTCGACCTCTCGCGTCCAGCTATCTATTGCCCTCCCGTACATGTTTAGTTCAACATTCACCTCGTAATCCACGCAGTCGCAATGCCAGTCCCTGTGGCAATCAGGATGAACCTTGCGATGTTCTGTTACTGCTATCTCCTTCTCCAAGGTCCAAGGATGCTCTGCCTGCAAGAGGGAGCCGTCGTCCGATGAGTATGTAGCTTCACGTTCTTCGAGGTAGCGAGGATCATATATCTTCAAGATGGCTAAAGAATTGAGAAGGAACGGATGGCTGGGCAGGGGCGAGAGAATGCGAACAACCAAGACTTGGCTAGTTGTAAACGGGGTAAAAACCTTCTCAACAACGACGGTAAGATGGTAGAGTTTCGATGTGGTGATGTTCAAGGTTGATCCTGGCCGGTATAAAGCGGGGACGTCTGCCATGGTCAAGGAAGTAAATGATAGCGTACTTGAACGTCGGACCTTGAGATTCGGAAGCGTGAGTCAGCGGTCACAGAAGTTACCTTTTTTGGAAGGCGAACGTTATGAATGTCAATGTGACAACTTCAACTTGAGAAAGGACCTCGTTATATTTTGACGGAATAAGGCGAAGCTAGATTGAGCCAAGAGGCTCCGTCTTGAACTTTGTGCCAGGAGGTTTTGTCGAGGCTCAAAATTCCTTCGCGCCCAATTCGCCCCAGCGCTTTGCTTATTAAATACTACTAGGATGTCCAGTTACATCTCCGGGGACCGGTTAAGGGGTTCAGGTGAAGAATAAGGAGGGTAATTATCCGCTCGCAAGACCTCCTAGACCTTGCTATTTCCTTTCATTATTGCCGCCCCTATGGCCCCATAGACATCCCTACCCCATTTTCTCGGAAATCTTGCGGAAATCATGTGCATCTGCGAGCCGATTTGCAGTTGTAGGATCCGGTTGTGTCACCATCCTCTTCACTGCGATTAGATCTTTAGATTCATCCACCTGACACCACCAATCATCGTCTGAAAACTTCTTGATCCCACCCTGTGTCTGAGAGGTGGACTCGCCAAAATCAATGATCACTGCGCGCTTCGAACCAATCAAGATGTTTCCTCGATTTATGTCCCAATGAATTACTCCTAGCTCGTTAAATTTCACCGCGGTCGCGACGAGGGTGCGGATATGCCATGGTGTGATGACACTGATGTCTCCTAGACTAGAGACGCTTGTAACATCTGGAATATATTCCAGAAGAATAACGCGGGGGATATAAGCTCGAGTTTCATCAAGAATCAGATCGCCATCCTCGTAGAATGTAGGCACGGTGAAGCCCGAAAGGGAAGAAGTCGCTAAGATGTGGTATGCGTCGACCTCTCGCGTCCAGCTATCGCTTGCCCTCCTGCACAAATGTACTTCAAAATCCACCTCGTAATCCACGTCGTCGCAATACCAGCAGTCGGGATGAGCTTTGAGATGTTCCACTGCTTCTACCTCCTTATCTAGTTCCTACCTTCCCCCTTTCCGCTCCCCTTTTCCTCCCCGCTCACCCCCCCCACCCCTCCCTTCTGCTTCCCTCCCTTTCTTTTAACTTTTTCTTTCTTTTTCTTTTTTCACTCCCTCTTTTCACATTCACTTTCCACTACATACATTAACACTACATTAAATCGGCCATCATATCTTACCTACATCTAAACTACATTACAGGCCACCGCTGCCATACTGCACATCGCGCGTCGCATTTGCAGACCCACTCTCTCGGATTAGTAGACCCCCGCTTATAGTTTGGACTCGCACGTAGATAGTCTATGTATGTAAATTCCGGCATAGGGCTTCGCCCAATGGAATAGAATGGAACGAAAAAAAAAAAAACCTCCTTATCCAGGGTCCAAGGACGCTCTTTCCGCAAGAGGGAGCCGTCTGATGAGTATGTGGCTTCACGACCTTCGAGGTATCGAGGATCATATATCTTCAAAATGGCTAGACAGTTGAGAAGGGACGGATGGTTGGGTAGGGGCGAGAGAACGCGAACAACCAAGACCTGACTAGTTGTGAACGGAGTGAAGACCTTCTCGACAACGACGGTCAAAATATAGAGTTTCGATGTCGTGATATTCAAGGTCGATCCTGACCGGTACAAAGTAGGGACGTTCGTTATGGTCAAGCGGATATAAAATGGCCAATCCCTGACCAAAAGTGAGTCAGCGGTCACGAAACGTCACCTTTACCTATGCCCCTATGGCTCGATAGGTATATCAATATTGTAATTCATCATAAACCTGGTTATTCACATCCGAGCTTTTCACTACTCGGCTTCAATCAGCGAGGGCGGTTGGGGGACAGCGGACATATGGAAAGCAGAACTGGAGCGACACAGGCTGCACCTAATTACAATAAGCTTGCAGACAATCGAACTGAGATGACACAACTGCGGCGGAAACGATGGAATCAAGCGCGATAAAGACAGGTGGCTTGTGCATGAAGGTAGGAATGACTGGTTTTGATCACGGCGTCAGGTTCCAAGAAAAGGAAGACCACAAAAGCTGAGAGTCCGTTAAAATCGATGAGTTTGTCAGGTTCCACCGTGAGGAGAATGCCATCTTGCGATGCTGACGCTAACAACCAGAAATGACAGCGGCAGCAGCAGGTGGGCCTGACTGGCCATGGAACACGGCTTAACTGACGGGCGCCGATGGACATAACCAATGACTCGTGAACCCCATATTTGACCTGGCGAGACAGGGCTTGACCACCATGAGATAGTAGGTGATGATGGTTGAGGTGTTGGTAAGCACGCAGGCCTACGACCCACCGACTCCCGCCGACGCGTTCCTAATATCAACCGCATGGCCTGACCCGACGAGCACGGCCTCATGCCAAATCAACGTGTGGGTTGTGGGGGTGATACTGGAGAATGTGAAATAGCCGATGGAAACGGATAAGTTAGCGGATTCAAGGACGGCCAGAACTGAAGACTTGGGAGAAGACTGTCAATCCTACTGTTGAATCCTGAGTAAGATCCCCAACGAGAAGGCTTCTGAGATTGGGAGGTGATTATAGCTAGTTACAGGCGGGTTCGTCGGGTCATTGTAACTGAGTTTGCAGTGACAATATGTAAGTACGAGTGGTGAAAGCGGAAATAGGAGGTCCCAAGCTTCGCGTGAAACTTGGACGGCAAAACCCCCAATGAGGATCACGGCTGAGCTTGCGCCAAGAAGAGGTTAACAGCTGAGCCCAACCCATGAGGAGCGGTGGGCTTGAGTCGAACAGATGACGTGAAGCGCAAGCGACAACTGAAAGCCAAGGCTAGTGTGATGAGCTGTCCGATGAGCACCGATGGGCTCAAAGAAGCCTGGGCGTAGCCCAGACCAGCGGAATGGAAGGGTCTGAATGTTCGTCAACCACGACCGAGATCACGGCATGGCCACAGATGTGAGGTGGGAAGATGGATAAAATCCTCAAGCCCCGAGTGAAAGTGGCTATAGCGTGGGCAGTTACAGTTGTGTTTGTGAGGGTGGTTGTACCTGTGATTTCAATGATTATTGCTGCATTTGCGCAGGTGATTATGGTAGAGGCTGTAGGTTGTCTGTGATATAGAATATCGGCGCAGGCGGGTCGGTGGGTTGACACGCGCAACCAAGAGTGTCTGGTCGGGATCGCTAATAAGAATAAGTTGCAAAATCGAAAGGGGATGGGTCGCGATATTCGTGCGTAGCAAGGAACAGGATGGCAGTGAGACGCTGCAGCAATGGGAATTCCGCTAGTCGCCCCAGCCCACAGAGAGGGAGCCAACATCTTGCAATTTCAGTGTCGTCACGGATTTCTGTAGCAATAGATGGATACGTCAGCGACCTAAAGCCAAGCAAGACAACAAACGACGCACAGGGCTGGAAATAGCGTCTTCCCCCTCTTCTTCCGACACTGGTGTCCCACTTTGAGAGGATTTTCTCTCCCTCTGCCGTCCGCGGTTTGTCACTTCCTTCGGGGTGAATCCGACCCATCTGACGTTCAAGATGGGGTTAGGCTTCGGCTGGTCTGTAATCACAGCCGAAGGCGTGTGCGACGGAGAGGCCGAGCGCGATCTCAAAGAAAATCCTCGTCCATGTCGCCTGCCGTTGCGGTGGTGGTTCTGGTATCGATGGTCGGTATTGTTTGAGTTATAGTAGTACCCAGACACGTCACTTCTTGACGGTGACCGGGATATGCTATCATGTGCTTCCGGCTCCGGTATAATTTGGTTATGGAGATTGAAAGGAAGCTGAGAGCCCACATTGACCATTTTCCTGATGAATGCACGTGTGATTTTGACAACACGTGTAGATTTCGAAGACAACCAACTTACCCTTCCTTTGCGCGAACAATGAGCCCTAGACGTTCTCGCAACTTCCGCTGATCGGCTTGCAACTGGAGAAGCGCATCTGAACTGTGAAATTTGGGTGAGCGAGCGACGACCAATGGTCGTATGATACATACTAGGATACGTTTGGTTCCTCTTGACTTGGAATGAGGTGCGTTGACTCGTCGACCTGGTTGACGTCGTTCCCGTCGTCGACGATGCAACAGCAGAAGATGCGCTTGAGGGCGACGAGCGCCATGTAGAAATGTCGACGACGTCGAGTCAAAGGCGATGTTTGATTTTTTCCTATTGTTGAATTGTTTGGTCGGACCAAGCTGCGTACAAACAACCCCTTCATTGCAACCACAATGTGGCTTGAACGAAACTCACTCTTTGCTTTACTCTGGCCAAGGTTTGAGGGCCAAATACAATCGAGCGCGACCCAAGTCTATGTGCCCGACATCATTGCTGAACGCCCAAATAAATTAATCGCCAGCAATTTTCATTCCGCTGAAATAATGTTTTGATCGCGAAAAGTCCCTTTGCCTCCTTCGAAGTCTCCACCCCTTCGTCTCGCAAAATCACCGAAGGGTAAGTACATAATATCGTAGAATCTATTCCTGAACTCTCAGAAGTCAGAATAAACACAGATGGGCGCACACCACTGATATCATTCAAGATCAATGTCAGCACGTCGCGCTCGTCTCAGGATGACACTTCGCGTTCTTCATTATCCCATGTCGCCCGAATCCCCAGCTCCAGGCCTGATAGTCGAAACCTCTTCACTAATTTGTCCTGCCCCGGCTCGAAGCAATCGTGATTGTTTCAAGACGACAGCATGGGTGATGTCACCCATACCGAAGTTAAATGTTACGTCCCTCGGCACATCACATTTCAACTATCAACCCTTTATTACTTCTGCTACATTTTATGAAGGGCCCCTGGTTAGTTTTTTCTAGGCATTTCAATGTATTTACTTGCATTGAGACGATTTCATTATCTATAAACAGGCTGCTCAGTCCAACCTTAGCTTTCTCCTCCGAATTAGGCGGATCTCCAACAAAGCCCTCGTATCCCAATCACTTCGTCGAAGGGCAATAAGATTCATGTCATTCGTCTCAAGGCGATAAAGCGGGATCTTCAAATCCCAAGTATTCCACAGCGTGGTTTCTCGCTCCGATGCATCCGTTTCTGTCCGCGTTCACACGAAGTCTTAATATCAAAAAGGCCCTATCCGAGTTGATGGCACTATAGGTATCTATGGAGTTCTTCTCTTAACAGAAAAAAAGACCCCCTTGGAAACTGCGTAATACTGAAATCGCACGATCTACGTGTATGTCTACCGCAGTATCATGATGGCCAGGGATCCCGACCGCCCAAAAACTTTATGGTGAAGCTCTCAGGCCGATCTCCATATCTTGCAAACTGAAAATGTAATGAGGGCCCTCCAACCTTGATTCGGTATGCTCTCGTTTGATGGGAAATACATCCACTGAAGGATCTATCTGTTGTTATCTAGTGATCCTTTTTTGGGGCTAAGTAGCGCGGGGAGATACCATGAAACTACGGCCAGCTACTGCTTTACGAACGTCTCCTTATAGATACAGGCGAGTTGCGTTTTACCCTCCCCGACTTTCCATCTCATGCGGTGTACGTTCTGAAGCGGCAATACGTGATCGGACGCACCCATATTTCAACTGACCCTTCGACTTTGTGTCCGTCAAGCTCCCAATAAGTCGAAGGGCGATCGTTCGCCGCCAAACTTTGAAAACCTATTTACACGCGTTCTCTACGAAATATGGGCGTCACTTCAACTCATTGCCATGAATGTGGATTTCACATGCCCGCCAGATACGGCTACCAGAGATCATGTGTGATCTTGCGCGCTCAGATCGCGCCGTGTTCAGGCCAAGTGTCCCATTGGCACTCCCAGGTCGACACGCGGCCTCCTCGCCGTAGAACCTTTCAAGGAAATCCTCCACACCAGACTCGATTTGGTACATCTTCGCCTTCTTCCGAGCATTCACGCGCTGAAGGGTCTATTTCCTTTTATCCAGCAAAGGGTGGTTCTAGTTCAACACGGCCTTCTCGAGTCTTAGCTATCAGTTTATGTGACGGAAATGCATTCAAGAACATCAGAATTTGATTGGAAAGGAAAGTCTACGAGTCTGATTTGGACTTACGTTGCCTCTCGACCGGAACTTACAAGTCTTCTCAGGTTTCCTACCACAGATTCTGTTTACTAGGCGTTCTCTTTTAGAGCTCGCTCGCTCTGAAGTGCCGATTTAGATTCAGTCGTTGCGACTTTCTTCACTTGGGCATATAGAAATCTTCACTTAGTGCGGTGGGGGCTCGGCCAATACTTATTTGACGGCATCAGATGCCCTCTGAAAGGGGGTTCAATCACAAGGCGGTACATCCATTTCGGCTTGCCTTGTGTAATACTCTTGACGCGCTCTAGAAATCAGGCTTGTTTGTTCTCAAGCGCCCATGTCCCCGATTCGCTTTCCCTGACCCTTTTGAAATTGCCTATTTAGACTCTCGAGGCCGCGGATTCAATGTTTTCATCAACCTCGAAGCAAGATTGACTGAGAACTCCGGACCACATTGAATATATTGATATTCAATTTTATGGTCCAATGCGGAGAAGTTTTCTATTTTCGCTAGGTTCTCAAGATCACACATTCGGAAACTCAGCGCGCTCGAGCCCTCAGCTTCGAATCCGAACCGCAGGTCGGTACCTTCACTTGAAGAGGTGTCCTAAACTCTTTCTCAAAGCTTCTAACCTGCTGAACACATTGAGTCAAATATGGTTCCGATAGTATGACTCCCGGACTCCCTTCAACTTAAGTGCGAGGCTAACGCCTTATAAACAGTAGACATGTGCTGCTATACGTTGCCCTTGATTGGGGAAGGACGGATGGCCTCATAGCTTTTTTCTTTCGTCGACCGACTTGAGGTAATTTCTCATGTCTACCGAAATGCAACACGAAACGTGGAAATCACAAGTTCACTGTTCAAAACGGCTGGACGCAGACTGCAGCATCTGGGATTCGGTCTTGGCACGCTCCGCTGCACAGGGCCCACTTCTTTGAATTGGGCATAGACTGGGACCGTCGCACCTTGGTATCCTCCGTGCTTCTACTCGCTTCCGCCACCATTGAGGCTCACGAAAAGACGTAGGGCGCTGAAAGGTTCTGGAGAATCGACGGTGACGTCTCGAGCACTCTTCGGACCTTGTATCGTTGGTTATTCTACGCGGCAGAATGGAAGTTACTATCTGTTCAGGTCAAGCATATCCTGGATTCCATCAATGGAAATTTGTTGAAGTCAGTGCCAGATATCATTCCTCCGAGATAATTATTCATTTGTGAAGCTACCAGGCCGGACTAATCGCTGACTGTTGTCAAGGTCTTACTGTAGGTTGTCAATTATGACCCTTAGAGCTTGGTGCTATCACAAGAAGACACACCGCACGACAACGGTAGCGTTTTGAAAGGCGATGCTCCTCTGATAAATTAATTTATGTTCACCCTTCATCCAGATAAAATGACTCCGTAAAAATCGTGAACCACACCTGTCATATGTAAACTTTCGTCGAGTTGCTGTGTATCCCACATACCCTGTAGATTGTTTCACGTCGTAGCTATCCTGATTGTTCCCAAGATCAAATCCTCCGCCACTGCTTTACAACTGCTCAATCTGGAGGCTGTAGCTGGCGCCCGCGGCATTGAGTACACGTCACGGCGTCTCCGTTTATTGCTCTGCTAATTACGGCTGGAATTGAGAATTTGGGTTACAAATTTTAAGCAAAATAGGTTCCGATGAAGTCCGAGGCTGATAGCCCTTCCACGTGCTTTGTGACAGAACGCGTTTTCCCCATCAATTCGGAACTGGGGGCTGTGCCCTACCCGGAAATCATAAGCATCTGACATAAACAATCAAAGGTATGGATTTCTGGAAGACAGCACCGAAGTGCACAATATAAGTTACCTATCGGTCCAAATCGCGAGTCCGAATGCCTGGCAATGAGCTGCGGCCCGCGGGTGCTCAATTGGCATTTTTTAAGTCACCAGGAAAAACAATTTCGTATTCTCGAATTTCTCTTCCGCCGGCAGCTCCCGGGCGTGAGCAAGTTATCAGCGCTCATCACGCTAAATCATGATGGAAGCGTGTCGTTATGCACCACCTGACGATTTGCCGAGAAAGCGACCATGTGGAACCACTATTCCGGCTTTCTAATACAGCCTCAATTGTGGAGTGGTCTTTCTGGTGGTTCCTGAAGTTACAGTTGGACGCTCTTGGACACTGCTTTATTCAAAATTTCAAATGTCTTGTGTGAACAGTCCAGGTTTATAATTTCGCGCGATGTCAGAAATTTGTGGCCCAAAACACACGTTTACTGTATGTATAGCCGAGGCTGCGCATAGCCTATAGGCTATAGGTGGGCAGCTCACTAAATGTACATGCCGAAGATGTGAAGGACGCAAGAAGGACGCGTTTATTACCGGCCCGTCGTCATCACGGGGATTTATTGCCGTCTCATACCGTCTGAAACCCTGGCTTTTTGTTGTCAGTTATCGTTGATGTACATGTGTGAGCTGAGAAACGACCGCTCAGGGTGGGTGACATCCTGACGCAGTAAAAAGTTTAATTGAAATTCGCATTCTGCAACAGTCACAACCAGAAGCGTGAGGATGAGCTAGCTAGCCAGCTTTGCATGACAATTTAACAATTTATCTTTTATCGAAAGGACTACTACGTGCTGGCAAAGTAAGATAAAAAAAATAGCGTCCGCCAATGTCCATGATGCGTACAAAATAAGTATCGTCCGTCTTTACTTTAGTTCCAATTATTTAGTAGGAGCATGCTTTGTTCTAGGTTTAATCTTGTTTCTCTTGAGGGATAGAGGTCTAGGCTTTCCTCGAAGGCGGGCGTACACCCCACAGGCGTTGCAAAGCTGTGCCCCAGTCTTGCTACGACGCCAGACTGACGTATGATGCGTCCGACAATGGCTGCACTCGGGACCGATATAATTCCCGTCCGAGGAATCTGTAGTATCCCCATCGTCAGTATCGGCGTCAATGAGTTCCTGAGGCCGAAATTTATTTCGTTGTTGAAGATAGAGGCCGCAAGCGTTACAAAGCGTCTTGAAAGTTGTCGGGTCCCTTCGCCAGAGGGGGGTCGATGTTGCTTGACAATGTGAACACTTTTTCGCGACGCCCGAACGGTCCAAGCTGGGCCTCCGTGACTTAGCCGGCGGACATGCGCTGGTAGAATTTTGTTGGTCATATGCTGGTGGAGGCGATGGTGAGGGATGAGGTGAAATACGGTGAAGGGAGGCCAAGTCGGCCGCCGTCATGGAAAAATGGGGTGTATACGACGTCAAGGGATTGGCCATGGATGTAGGCATAATCATATTGTTCCAGGATTGGGCGTCGAGTGGTGAGATTTGCAATTGGCTGTTCCAATCTACAACGGAACAAGGAGCATTGATACCCAGAGATGCCGGGTCTCCAGAAACGTCCCATCGATCCCATCCCAAGTCTCCTACAAGGTTTACGGAGGGTTGCCTGGCGCACGGCTGTTCAAGTTTGTGCTGAGCGAAGCCGTGAGATAGAGGAGGGTCAAATGAGGAGGGCATGTAGTTTCGTGAAGAGGAAGATGAGGAATAGAAAGGTGGTTGAATGGTGCGACAATCGGGAAACGACTCTCGAACGTAATTGTTTAATTGTGCCATCCCTCTATTTTGCCGATATTGGGCGGTCAAACGCTTTGAAGAACTGGAACGGTCGTGCCCTACAAATGTTATTAGAAGAGGGGAGAGAAAGACCAGCATCTGACTTACCAGGGGACCAACAGTCGTCAAAGCTCGGAAGCGATGATGGAAGCGAAGATGGATACGATGAGGGCGGATAGCCTCCCAACATTGAGGAGTGGCACGAAGAGTGCATTGATGGGTCTCTGTCCATTTCGAAGAGAGCGTTGAGGAGATATGATTGTTGAGCCATTAGCGTCTGAGGCATGCTGCAAAAGATCGTGAGTGAGACGCCTCGTTCGTTTATATAGCATTACCAAAAGGTTCGGTGCCAAATTGGTGTCGAGTACGGTAGTATCGAGATTCGAGATCCAGGGTCCCTTTGAGATCTGAGCTAGTGACGATCTTTGCTGCAAGCCAACCGTTTGGCAATTGTCCAGCGACAGTTTCTGCCCCGAATTCGTTATGGAGTTGAAGACCGTCCTAAGTATGTGTGAAGAATAATGAAAAGACTCAAGACTCAAGAGCGTCCTATTTGTCTATTTCCGGCTCATGACCTCCCGAACCATTCGAACGAAACAAGGTTCACCAGATTGATGTAGATCACAGGGCTGTAAAGGAAATACGATTATGGGTTCCGTGACGTAAGGACCAAATCCCCCCCCTACCAACGGCCGAATCGGCATCTTGCGTCTAGCTTCCCAAATGTGGGAAGGAAAGCCGTTGATTGTTCAGGAGAAGTTCCAATGAAATCTTGCTGCGATTCAGGGGGATTGGCGTCCTAATTCATCCGCGAGAAGAACCTAGCAAAGGTCCATCGACGCGATGTTCTCAAATGAATTTTGAAGAAGTAACACACCTTCCAAGCATTGCACGCGCTCGCAGAGCCGAATAGAGGCGAAACGACGCTACATTTCTTTCCGTCTCAACCTCATCATTCTGCGGAACGTGGCGGGCGTGAATCGAGAGTACTACCACGAGGTAGCAAATTAATCTCTCTACTTGCTGCGGGGACATGAATGAGCCTCGCTTGGTGTTTTGCTCTCCTCGAAATGGCTCATTACCCTTTCAATCGCACTGCGGCTGTCAGCTGAGTCATGATTTTTGGATAGAGAGGAATACCAAGGCAGGAGCATGAGGCCAACCGCAGCTTCTTTGGCGCCGCCCAAAGGTGAGCTGCGCTGGAAAGGAAAAAATCAACAACATGTTGAATAACTTATACGGCTTAGTTTCCAACAAAGAAAATCCGTGTGACCCTGCCTTGTCCATACTTGAAGGATTCTGCAACCTTCATCCTTTGTTGGCATGGGCGGCGCGACAAGGGTACTACCTTTTCCACCATCGTCGAGTACTACCTCGACGATGGTCAAATTGAACACAAACTCGGATGCGCCTTGTCCCAAATATAGCAACCAACCACCATCAGGTACCCATAATTTTGGATTGGGAATATTTGACAAACAGAACGAGTCATTCTGAGGCTGTGGAAAAAAGGCGGCTAGAGAAGAGCTGAGTCGGCGTGGCATCCGGTTCATATCAGCCGCATTCATTGGAGGGGTCTTCTTCTGGGCAGAGTTCCACCTGATGGATCACTGGCGATTGTCATATGAACGTGCTTCGAGATCCCACGGCCCATGGTGGTCGGAGGGAAGAGGCCCTGAACGCGGAACATCTGATTTGTCTCTTTGTCTGTTTGACGGCTTTGGGGCACAACAACTCTTGCAACAACTCTGCTTATACTGACCGGAATCGGAGTGATTTTGAATTTGTGTCCAGACTAGCCACTCCAAAGCTCCAAACGTTCCAACCTTCATGTTACTACAATCTTTGTCTCGAGTCAGACCTGCGGCGTCTTTTCGTGTATACGGTGGCAATACCGATTGGCAGTTGCCATCACCAGTCACAAAGTCAACTTGTCGGTATCTTCACCGCCCTCGCTGGAAATAATGTTGGAGAATGTTGCAGATTACTGCGAACCGCGTAAGTAACTCCAAAAATCAAATTAAACCTCGATAGATGTAAAGCGGTGCTCTCGATGTTTCACCCTATCAATGGTAAGCCACGTTCAAAAAAATTACTCGGGATTCGTTTCTTTTTCAAGGCCGACGAGGACAAATTATCAACCGCGATTTCAAGTCTCGAAATGGAGGACTGCGGTACTTGTCCCAGTCTCCACTGGGTCTCCACCGTGGAGCAATTATACGATTTTTTATGAGCGCTGAAAAGATTGATTTTACCATTACTAGGACAACTTGAAAATACGTACGCAGTTCTGATCCTCTGATTCCTGTCCAGTTATCTTGTATGCTGTGTTTTATCTGCTTGATCACCTGCAATTTCCCGACATTTAACCCCGTAAGGTTACGAATTAGGCAATACGATAATAGGAAAGTGCCAAATACGATCATTGCACGACTTTCAACGTATGTAAGTCCTAAGGTAAGCTCCATAGAGCGCGGGGGACATACCCTTAACTTGAGTTTATGAAGGAAATTGACGTCGTAACTCTCCAAGGTGAGACCGTGCTCGGAGTTGGAAAGAAGCTGGATTTGAAAAAATGCGCCTCGCTGATCCGGAGAACCCAAAACCTGAGTGGAGCTGGCTGTTAAAATCCGAATACCTTCGTCCTTGGCGGAGCTGAGAGGTCGGTGGATTGTCAAGAGCGCCAGGCGCGAGCGGATCCATGTGGAATGCACCAAGAAGGCAATGGGGTGATTACGAACTATCCCCGCCATGTTCGGTTGCCATAAAAGTGGGCCCCCGCAAGTGGGCTTGGCGTGAAAGCCTTACGGAGTCCTTACGAGTCGAGAAGGATCGTGAGCGCTGTGATAGGAGATTGTTCAATTTGACCCAAAGCCCTTCCAGCGCTTGGGGCAAAGGTCGACGTCATTTGATTGAACTGCATTTACGAAGGGCTTTGAGTGAGCGGCTTGGTGTGGTTGAACGATCGACGTTGGACAAGACTCATGTCCAGATGCCTAAGGGAGGTTGTGGATTATTATGACTCGAATTGAACGCAAATTGATCAGGGACGCCAGAAGTGAAGCTTCCCGGGAGGTTCTTACGCTGGGAAGTTCCGATTGCACTGAATAAAGAGAAGATAAAGAAGCGTGATGTAAGTTCGGACGAGATTAGATTAGCACGCCAAAAGGGTGGTCCTCCGCCTGGATGCACGGAATAAAGGCTCCTGACTGGTATAGTGGAGAAGATAGAGGTCGGAGACCGTCTATAATGAAACACCGATGTCGGTCGTCATCATTCCTTGGTGGCGTATTCAATAACGACTTGCTCGCGATCACCTTTAGACCGGAGGCATCGGTACGGTCCGTCGTGCGGAGAAGTTGGGGTCATATGGTGCAGAAGTTAATGAGGCTTTTTTGATCCTCGCGGCGCCAAAACGAACGCTATACTTGGGGTCGTTACTTTTACTGATGAGTCTATTCTGAGGACAGGGCTATCTTGGGCATCGTTCGAGAAGTAAACCTCTGCGAACCTGCGGGCAGCACGTACACAGCCTGTGAAATAGAAGCCAATTCCAAGTCATGGGGCCCAGAGGCAGGCTGTTCCTTTCCTTACCATGAAATGCGATGGAGAACGCGTATAAAAATACAGCATATCTCATCAGACTTGAGTTCAGTGATGAGAAGCGCCATATCCTCGGTGAACATGGTCGTGGTCGTGGCTGGTCGTCGTTGGAGAAAATGGGTGTGACATGTCACAACACCTGACATCCACGTCACAACCGTTCATGCATCCACCACGAGTCTGAGCTCAAACGATCCCTTTTTCACTGAAATCCTACGACGCCAGGGCAAATTTGTACGACGATGTCGTTTTTCAGCCGTCTTTTTGCTAAGGTAAATCCTCGTTCGTTTCAACAAAGGGTTTTGAATGGGTGTAACTTTTTCTTTCAACAGCAGAAAGAGGAAGATTACGAGACCGTTCTGTCAAATCTCGCGGATGACATCAAGAAGCGCCGGGTGAAGCTGTCTGAGATCAGACTGCGCGAGCGGCGGGCAACGTTATTGGTGACATTGTACACACTGGCAACGTGGGTGGCGTACGTCAGTCTCTGGTACGTGGAGTACCTTCCACAAATTCGGGATAGCGCCGGTGTGAGGAGCGTGGGTCTGGAAAGAGCGGTAAAGGCATTCCCAGTGCTTATTGGGCCTATTGTGTGCGTTATTCGCAAGATCAGTTGTGCATCATCAGTCGCTCATCGTGATCGTCACCTAGCATTTTGTTCATTCGGAGGATCGTTCAGATTTGGTATAAACGAAAAGGGGACGCAGAAGGTCCGTTTTCTGACCCTGTATAACTATTGTGAGGCTCACGCTGGATTCAGAGAAAACGGTTCAACTGCTCATGAAAGAGCGGAGGACCAAGGTAGAGGAGATAAAGAAGAAAACAAATTACTATTCCACACGAGATCTTCTTCAACGTTACGATGACTCAACTCCCACCAACACCCCCGTCATTCCACGAACTCTCCCCAGCCAGAACGCTCCTGGCCTACCTTTTACCCCGATTCGCCAACCCGTCCCCCAACACCCAAATTTGGGACAAGCCTCTGGTGTAAATCCTCGTCTTGCTCGTGCGCCTTCCCCCCAGTCGTACTTGCTCATTTTTTAATTCCTTAATAGAGGTTATGTCGCCACCGTTTGCGGCAACACCGCCGCGTAAACAGTGGTATGACAAGCTGGCCGACAAGCTGCTAGGTGACGACGAGCAATACAATGTCTCTCCAAGTTCTCGATACGCACTAATCTGCGAAAAATGCTTCGCCCACAACGGTCTGGTGAAGGAGAGCATGTGGGAGGATGCGCGTATGTTTTTCTCTTCATCCGCATATCTTATCTAACGTCCTGCCTCTCAGAATACTTGTGTATGAAGTGTAATCACTTCAACCCTTCGATGCGGTCGAAGAGGCAAGCACGACTCAGCCAAATATCGCCTGCCAGCTCTCCCACCTCGTCCCCAATGAATGAGGGTATAACTGCTCATTCCATCCAACTATCCCCATCGCAACAACCAAGCAACGATCCACCGACCGTGGACGCTCCCAGCTCAGCTAATATGGACGTTGATTCATAGGGGAATTCGAATGTCGATCTGTAGGTTGGGGAGTTGTTGGATGTTCAATATGTAATCTCTCCCTGTCATGCAGCATTATCATACTCTTTTTTCTCTTTTTATCAGGTTGTGGACGCTCTGATGTTTGCCTTGAGGTCGTTTGACAAACAGCTGTGTGATATGCATCTGGGACCTGGGTTACCTGGGTTACCCCGCCCTTCCTTCCAGGTACCTTACCCCACCTGTCTAGGTACCGAGGAATTTGTGGCGCTGTTCCCCCTCGCTACTTACGTATACACCGATGTTCAGGAGGAAGAATGGGCGTTCAGTGTGACCTGGCGCTTACTGCACTGCGACCACCCCACCTCTCTAGCGACCCCACGAGGCATCGGAGGCAAGGCTGGCAGGTAAGGGACACTTTCTGACCTTCTTTCTTATAATCTCAGACCCTCTGATTTTCATCTCCACAACGTTGCCACTACCAGCAGAATGACTGACCTCTGGCCCCAACATTCCATTCGGGATTAAGGGAAAAAACTTTCATGTTACGATCTCGATAATGTTGATAAGGTCCTTTCTCATTTGCAGACCTCCCTTATTCGACTCAGTGTCGCATCTCTTAATCAAACCAGATCCATTTCTTCTAGATGGTCTCCTGTGGGTCTCCTCGTCATTACGAAGTACCCGTCACTGCAAGACTGCGCGCTGCGCACGTCATATGTAACACCTCTCAAAACATAACTTGACAGGTCGTGTACTTCAACCAAGCCAAGAAATAGCGTTTGAACTCGGACCGCCATGACTCCGCAGCACCCTCTGAATGTAACTTGGGAAAATCAACCTGCTACAGTGCTGCTGCGGTGACTCGTTTAAAGTTCAAGGGTAAATCCAAGCTGAATCCGGGTATATTGACCGCATCGCTTGGAAATTGGGGTTGGTGAGACTTATGCCAATCTCTGGGTCGAAGTTAACTTTAGGCCTTAGATTCCAATCCTCGATCTATTTTTTTTTTTTGCCTTATTGAGGCTGCGGAAGGGCCGGCTAAGCCATTAAATCGCTTTTACGTCCCCCAATCATATGCCTGCACACAGTAACCATATTCATGCAAAATACATGTCCTGATAGGAAAACGAGGCAGATTCCGCGGGTCATGCCACACGTGCCAATGTTGCTCGATAACAACTTTGACCGCGTTTACGGCAGTGCTTATGATTTTGGCTGAATGCAACTCAAATTCCAACTGGTTGATTGGGACACCAGTGATATGGAGTGCATGAAGAAAAGCATAGACTTCGCTACCATGTCGTCAATCCGAGGAGTGTAATAAATTAAATAAAGAGATGAAGTTGTGTTCGGAACTCGATCGTAACTTCAAGAATTCAGACCAAATGGCAGAAATGGAGTCAAAAGTTGATAATGAAAATGGCTACCATCCACATTTTTAAAGGACATTTGTTCTACATTTGCACAAATTGAATGCTTGAGCGCCCGATGCCGCTGATCGACCTCCGCGGTTTAAATTGCTCGTGGCCAAGGGGGTGGCGGAATGTGGAAAAGAGACCAACACTTGTTATTTTTTTTTCAGAGTCCTGCTTGACAGCCCCCTACCCCTACCTTCCTAATAGAGTATGTTTTTCCCATGCTTATGTTTTCAGAATTTTTTTTCTACATAAAACGCGAAAACATTTGACAAATCTCACGGCGCACGCACGCAGCCTGTATTGCAACCTCGCGCTTTGCACATCACCACCCAACCACAGTTCTCTCTTCCTTTTCCCCTGCCATGAGACCCGAGGGGTATTTTGTTGTATGGTTTTCTGGTTAAAAAAGCTGAGGACTTCTCTCGAGATAGAGACAGTCCAGTCACGCCATCGTGACCCTGGACTGACCCTTTCCCGCTTTCCCGCGCCCTGGATCGTCTCCCTGCACACAGCCTCCTTCCTCTTTCGGTGTTCCACCGTACGATCACTGATCGTCCTGTTTCACGTTTAGTGGCCTCCTCCTCCCCTGCCTCCAACGCTCCATTTACCAGGTCGCCGTGGAACTAGTGCAGGCGGCTACTTGTCATGTCGCCGACGAGTTCCTCTCAGCCGTCGCGCTTGTCTGGGAGCTTCACGAGCTCTCGCAGCTCTTTCTACTTGTCTATTTTTCCCTCTTCGTCGCTCCCGATCTCCTGGCCCTCATCTGCGTCGCGATCGGCAACGCATTTGGAATGGTCTCGGACACGATGGAGGTGGAACCGCGTGCCCCTCTCCTCCCCCTCGTCGCTCAGATGAACAAGCAGGCCAGCGCGATGAACACAGAACATAAGCTTCCCTTTCCCGGACCACTGAGCCCTGACGGCACTCGAGACGTACGATATCTAGCTCTGTAAGTTCATTTCACAGAAAGAAAGATATCAGCTCATTCAAACCACAGGGATGGGCAACCCAAGTCCACTCTCAAGGAGTGGTGCCGCGAGTTCAGACTCCCCGTTTCTGGCAATGTCCCTCAACTGATGGAGAGGCTTCGTGAATACAGTGGGGATGACAACAAATGGAAAAGGTGAGCTCATTGAGTACCGTCTTGCAATTAGCCGTCTCTAACCTTGCTTGACACCTTCCAGCCTCGGCGCAGTCAAGATGCGCTCTCATAAAGGCCCCAGATCATCCGGGAAACCTCAACGGCACCAAAAGCAATCCCAGGTGCGATGTGCAGCACTGTTCAAGAGCAACCCCGCTCTTGATGCGCCTCTACGCGTTATGCACGCCTTGCCCACGGAGCGCTCGATGGATCGTCGGACGGCTCAACAGGTGGCGATGGTGGTCCCTTGGGTGAGTCACTCCCCTCCTTCTTGACCAACGTCGCCTGACGATAGAGTTCGATTGCAGGCACAGAATTATGTCAAATGCTTCCCGTACAAACCACCTGCACAGAGGAGCGGCGAGGCACGATCTCCCTCCGACTTGCCATTGAATACAGCTGGTGGGAGGGATGCCTCTGCTGTATCCTCTTCCCCCACTGAGGTTGCCAGCCCTCTCACACCTGTCCACCTATATCTACCCTATTCCCTCCCTTCGGCTTCCCTCAGCAGATTTGAGGTTCCTTCTTGCTTGGGCGGCCTTCCCCATTGCCCACCCTCCGATATCAGCATGCAGTCCCCCTCCACACCGCTCATTGAAGGGGACAGAACTCCAGCAATGGACATTGACCCCAGCCCTCTCGACCATTGTCCAACGTCGCTTGCTCCTTCCTGCAAAGTGGGATTTGTGCAGACTTGATCACTGACCCTGGCCAACGGCAAAATGCTCACGTTCACCTCAAAGGATGTTCCGGACCCAGCCTACATTAAAATTAACAAAGATATTCGGCTTCTGGCTTCTATGTGGGACGACGCCTCTTCAGCGTGGGGTGGAGTCTCTTTCACCACCATTCACAGACATCCCATCCCACTCAAATTCTGGCCGACCCTCTACCGGTACTGGAAGCCTGCCATATGGAAAGCGAAGAAGGGTGAGTGGTCCAAATGGAAGGTAAGTTGAGACTCTCGTGTTTGGATTTTGTATCTCAAGCTCACGCAACACCCCTTCCAGACTATTGCAACACGATATCTTCAGGGGACTCCTGAAGATTTCAACGCGGCGTTCACTGTCAACGGTCAATTGCAATCGTACACCGCCATCGAAAAGGCGATCACTCAAGCTCGCATAGCAAATGATCGGATACTGAGTGTGAAAGCACGTGAGGAATATGGGGCTGATTTCGATCAAGTGTTCTTATACCGGCGAACTCGAGATGGTGCTTGGATTGTGATGAGCAAGGACTCAAGCATTGCTCGTCACTACTGCCGCCTTCAGGGAGAGGCTCAGGAAGATGAAGAGGGCGATTCTGACGAGGGAATTTGATTAATTGGCTGATATAGTATATTACAACTACACTTGTTATTGTTCTTTTTAAAAAGTATCTACTTATCTTAACCTCAGGCACATGCACAAGTACGACCACATGAATAACACTTGACTGTTGGTGCAATACTTGGATTGAAGAAGTCTTCACGTCTTTCTGTGGGCACGTCATTCCACGACATCAAATATTTGACAATTGTCATGTGTGTGAAGTCTGTGCTCCACCCACCCCATTCGCAGATGCGGCGAATTGTCCAGCGCCTCTCTGATGAAAGATATTGGCAACCTCCTCGCCGGAATGAGTGAGTGCCATATGGAGAGGGATCAACACCAATGTCAATCAAATTATTCCTGAAGCATTCCAGAAATTTCTCTGTGCTCTGCACCAAGGCCGAAATAATCAATTGTAGAGCATAAAAATGATGTGGACACACACCATGGGGGTACTCTGGTTTTGGAGGATTTGCTCATGCTTATTCATTTTTGGGAAAAGAGGGCCTTGCTTAATCTTGGAGTATTCAATCCATTCAGCAAGTGCAGTTACAGGACACAAGTGACGCTCTGCCTCTGAGAGCTGGTGCAAGACAAATGGCTTGATGTCTAAGTATGATAGTTCAATCATCAATTCAGCTGGTCCCTCAAACAAGTTTCAAATTACTCACCTCCATTCTGAGCAGTCTTTCTGAAGGGCAATGTAAGTTTGATGCAAGTTGGGGAAATCAAGTCAATATCATGTGCTTGAATCTTCAAAACCTCATCAAAACGCAGAAGGCAAAGGAAAGAGATTGTGTATGCAAATTGCAGCAGCCGACGTGTTTGGCCACCCCCCCAATCCTCAGTTGTATCAGATTTTTTGTGGGAAGCAACCTCACGGATTTTCCAATTCTCTTCACAGTGGTTGAAGTGGTACAAGTCATAGAGCATTTTCTAACACCACAAAGTCATTAGTCTTATATTTGGCAAAGAACAAAATTTGTTTGAACTCACAGATGTGATTGCCCGTGCACTTGTTGCAGTTTCCCCTGCTTGAACCTGGGAAATAGATTAAAACTTGGCCAATGGATAGTTCCATGAGTTTACAAATAAGTACCTTTCTTCTGAGAAGGCTAACAATATAGCTTGAGACAGCAACAGACACTGAGGGGTTCCCAACCATGTTCCCTGTACTAGAGTCCTTGTGCCAAGGGAGTGTACCAAGTCCATAGATGCGGCCAAAGACATAAGTCATTGATGCCCGCATTTTTTGAGCATGTGCATATGTTGACCGCTCTTGATTTACATCTTTATCCGAACCATCCAGGTTGACTGAATCACATCTGATAATGTCATTGTTATTTGTGAATTCAAAATTGATACCACTCACTGATTCATGATCCAAGCTGTTATGTAGAGTGGTGCATTCTCATGTGGAGTTGCGCTAAAGAAAGAATCATTGGCCTTGATGAGGCCCTCTTTCACCAAGAAGGTGTGGCATTGGGCCTTCAACCTAGTATACAGGTGCAGTCAATAAAGCTAAAATCAATGCCCACCCGAAAACCTAATATACTCACCGCATGTATTCATTGTCAGTACCCTCCGTAACTCCCTTTGAGGCTTGCAGCACACCATCCTGCAGCTTTGCAAATGATGGACTTGGGTTATTTGAGGGGCTGGCATCGTCAGGTGTAGTTGGGAAAATAAGCTCTTTCTCTCCCTCAAGATCATCCTGAGCTTCTTGCTCCTCAGCGCTCTCAGACTCTGGAGGGGCAACAAAGCGCTGAACTCCAGCAAAGGCAGGGGCAACAAAGCCAGTACTTTACCATCCCCCACATAATCCACATGGACTCCACTGGATTCCACTGGATTCCACTGGATTCCACTGGACTTCACTACATACTGGCAATATCCACAAATCTGGACTCCACTGGACTCCCAGCACAAAACTGGACTCCACTGGACTGCAAGCACAAAACTGGACTGGACTGGACTGGACTGGACTGCAAATCACAAAACTGGACTGGACTGGACTGGACTGCCACAGACCTAAGTTAATCCAGAATTCCTCTTCAAAACAAAAAATAAAATTGAAGTATATTCATTAATTAAATTAATTAAATTTACATAGATTCTATGTTACAGAG